AACAAAGGTGCATCTACTTCTAAATACCCCAAAGAAACACAGTGGAAAATAAAGTAAGACTAACAATAATATCAGGTGTTGCATCTGTAGATAACACTACAGTCACACTACAGACTAATTCCTGGGGACTGACTGCTGGTCTAAGACTAGGCCAAGGAATTACCTTATATTCATATGTAAAAGGAGTAATTACTAGTAAATATCTTAAACTTTCACTATTATTTGGCAAGTAAATTTCCAGACTTTTGGAAGGATACTTCTGAGTATTACTACCAAAGTCAGTAAACTATTTGCAGAGTTCACATGAAGTCAATGAGATTACTTGTAAGGACTGGAGATACCCAGGATAAGCAAATATACAGAAATATAGCTAATTTACAATTTGAAAGCACTACTACTTTCTCTAATAATTTACTGTAATACTTTACCGCACATGGATGAGAGGCTTCCTTTTTTCTGTGAACATATGTTCCAGTAGCAATGCTAAGTGCTCTGTATACACCTTCGATTGGATCAGAGTGGGAGGCAAAATAAAGCAGCATTTCAGTATAGTTGAGCAGAGCAGGATCTTTTCTGGTATCAGCAAATAAACTGAAGAAAAACTATAAAGGGACAAAAATATGTAAACCAATTTCCATGAGTGGAATTTAATGGAATATAAATCAAGGACTGTAGAGAAAAGCATGAAATACAATAATTACTCCTAATAGGAGATACTGTGTTTAAAAGCATGTTAATGCTGTGTAAATCCAGATAAATCGTGTGTTTAAGTAATTCGAGGAAACAGAAATTGAATTTCACAGAACATGGAAAAATTAATAAAATCTTTTATCATGACAAACATGTTCAAAGCATTTTTTGTATTCAGGTCACACTATTAGCTCCCTCTTTCATGGAAACGTCTATGCAGTGATCATTTGCCTCCCATTCTTTACAAAGCTGGTTACTGTGTAGCAAAATTAATGTTGTTCAACCAAGAGCACAAATAATTAATTCTGAATAGACTACTTTAGTAGGACAATTCTTAGATTCCTTTCTACATTATTCTGAAGCGCCACCTGACCTCAAAAAACACTGAAACACTGAAGTAATTATGGAAAAAAAAAGACACACGAAACTTTTGTATGAGACCTCTCAGGTTTGAATAGTGGTCTCTTCAAAAAAACCTATGTTTTTAGTTACCTTTATGAGGTGTTTTAGCCTATCTAAAGGCACAGATTGTGTGCAACTTTTTGTTATGCTTAGATCTTCATCTCCATTAAACCATAAGCCAACCTGATAAAAAAAAAAGTTTGTTAATTTTCACACATTAAAATAAGGTGGTCTTTAACTGTTCAACAGACAGGTTACTAAGAGCTTAATTCCTAAGTAGCTGTTTGTACTTTATAACAGATACTTGAGAAATTACTGAAAATTAGGTAGGAGAGAAGTGAATTTATGCTCTTGAAAATACATAGTGGTAAACTACATTGCCGAAGAAGTAAAATGTGATGTGGAGTTTCAATGTATGTTCTGGTTTCCTCCTTTTAGGATACCATTTGCTACCTCCATAGCTTTTGTCTGAACTGTACTTTTAGAAGAAACTGTCCACAATTCAGGATGATGAAGGATGGAGTCATGGCTCTTCTCATGCTTGTCCTGCTCCCAAAAAGATAACTATTGTAATGCCTGCAGAGCATGTCCTCTAGTGCCTACAGAGCTATAGTTCAGCTGTAAATTAAAAGTGCTCAGAACCAATTCTATAATACTAGACTAGGAAATATCAACTAGATCTAAAACAGGAGATAGGCATGAACAGACTGTAAGATCCTGTGCACATTCTCAGTCTGCATGCCTTGTAACTGTTAGCTTATTTTTGAACTCTCACACTTCAGTAAAAATTACAGCAATAGAAAAATAGGTGCAGATAGACCTGCACTTTTTGTGGAATTTTTGGCTTTGCAGAATTTGTTTCTTTGCAAGTCAGGGATGGGTAGGGATTGGCAGGCACCCCTACAAGTTTGAAATTAATCAAAGTAGTTCTGAAACTGACAGACTTCTGAACTAACACAGCCTTTATTTAGTTTTTGAAGAAAACCAACACTAGGGGATTAGAAAACAAATTGCAATAAAGGTCCTATAAAATGTATTTAAAACAGTTTAAAAATTATTTTTAATATCAACAGACAAATGCAAACTGGCAGAACTGTACATCTTCTGTGTATATGTGCACACACATACACATATCTATGGACACATATATATATGATATTCATAGCTAGTATGGACTAAAAGAATGAAACAGCAGTCATTTTAATTATGATTAAGAAAGCAGAGTAAAAGTAAGTGAAAATTTAATGAGCAGAATTTTTCTAAAAGAAGAAAAATGTGTTCTTAATACTCCTTCATGAAACTTGCTCGCTGAAAAATCTTGCTAAATTATGTGACAATTCAAATAGAATCTATCTTCAGAGAAAAGATCAAAGAATTTTATAATTTCCAGGTACTCAAGGTCTGAAAAACAATCTTAATTTGAGGAAATAATTAATGGGAAAAAAAATCTAGGAATGTTTCAATTAAATACAGCTGATGAGCTGAAACTAAAATCCTTATTTCTGCTTGAGCAAGTTTTTTGTCTTATTTAGTGTCAAATAAGCTAATAGTCATCAAAGCGCACACAGAAAGTTTCTTTAAAACTGAAAGTGTTTTTACTTTAAATTAATGGTGAAACTAGGAAATGGAGGTAAAAAGTAAGCTTGATTTGTGGAAATATGGACATCATTAGGCCATCCATTTCCTGAAAACACTTTTTACCAGAAGGCACCCTCAAACCCAAAAACATTTAAAATTCAGACTGAGTTTCTGAATGTGAATAAACCCAATAATACACTCTTCAATATAGAGAGTTTAGCAAAACAAAACATGATTCAAAAGAGAAAAGATTTATAACCTGCAAGTAATATTCTTCTGTAACGAAGCCTGATTCAGCTACATCAACAGCCTTGAAGCTATGCAGCGTTTTGAGGAGTTGTGTCACAGATGGCACTGGCCAAGGCTGTGCTGCTGCTACTAAGAATCTGCGCCAGTCAGTAAATTCTGCGTTCACTGAGAATGCAGATGCCAGATTTTCTAACTATAAAACCAGAATAATAAATATTGTCAAATATGTGTGCATAAACATACGAACATACTCTTTCAATATCCTGTGTATTCTTGGGTCTTTTCCTGGCTAGGAAACACAAGGTCCTGCAGAGAGATGTCACAGTTATATAAAAGGCATGTATCAGTAGAAAAACAGGCCACAGGCCACTGTGTGTCAGTTGATATCTCTCTAAATAAATACTCTTACTCCCCAAATAGGGTTCTGTATCTAAACTGCCTATGAGATATCATCCTGAAACCCTGAACCATGTCCTGTCTGCATGAGCACCAAGAATTGAACTGACAATTCAGCAGCATAAGCACAAAATCTAGCAAATCCTTGGTCCCGTGCCTTGGCCCTGTTACTCTTAGAGGTGTTGACCAGGTGGCTTTCTCTGCTCCAGCATTATTGTCAGTTAGAAAAAAGCAGTGGTAGAAAAAATGCTTTGTGTCTTTTTACCAATGAAGACATCGCAGAGCTGGTTACAGGGAGAAACAAACAGGAGAACACTCCTAAAATCTCCTGAGATAGCATTAAAAAGGCTGTATTTGACAGGGGAAACCAAATCTGTCCGGTTCATTTCTGCACCGCTGGTATGGCGAGACCCTACTGTGCACCTCTACACAACTTTCTGCCCTACACCCAGATTTCCTTGTCAAAAGAAGTGTCTGGGTTGCTCCAGACCAGAGTTTGAGAAGAATGTGTTCACAGGAAGAAGGCCCTGGGGCATCACAGTGAGACAATTTGGTAACACTGTACATGTCATCTGTGCTGACACTGGCTGGAACACTGCCGCTTATTATTAATTGAGAATTTACTGAGATTCTAGTGAGTCACACAATGATGAAATGGTGAGTTAAGCTCAGAATAGCTTGTGCAAAATAAATATATACCTTAGCTTATGCTTCATGCATTTCCTTTTGTAAATAAGTTCTTGCATTCATTATAAATTTAAAAGTCTCATTTTAAAATGGTGCTTTTAAAGAAAGAAAATTCGGTTATTAAAATAAAAATAGCATTTATAAGCACTAAAAGTTCTCAAAGAACACAGAACATGGGATATATGCACATGTGGTCTATTAATAGACAATATTTGACTTGTAGTTTCCCCCAAACAATTAATTTGCTGTGCTAAGATTAGATTTTTATATACTGATGATGACAGTTGTGGCTAGTTTTCACTAAACTCAATGGAAATACACCACTGGGAAACTTTAAAATGTTTCACTCATGCAGTTCATCTGTGTGAAGAATATATGAATGAAGCTGTTTCCACATGTGAAATCCAGTAAAAATATAAATGTGAATCATGGTTTACTGTCAGAAATAATTATCAACACATGCTAAAACAAGTAAATAATTTCATTCAATAGGCCTACCAGCAACACTTGAAAGTAAAATTAATCAGACAATTCAGTATGGAAGATTTGGAAAGACTAAATTCTAATTTTCATGTTCCTAAACCTGAAAATCTTAGATAAGTAAGTTTAAGGTCATACAGCTCCAGATTTTAATTTCCTGTGCTGGAATGAAGAACATAAACAGTGTTATTTTAACTCCTGGAAATGAATTTTCAATGGTGTCTAAAAAACTCTATGATTTGAAAATTGTAAATAAATATATTGCTGACAAAAGCATTTTATTTCTGGTGCAGTGTCTTCCAGAATCCTCTAGTGAAACAGAAGAATTTTAAGGAAAAACTGATAATGTCCTATAATAGCTATAATCTTGACTTTATCTTAATAAGGACAATGCTGCATCAATTGCACAATATTGTACAAACCAATATTCCAGTTGAAGAGAAAACAGGGGTTAACTTACATCTGGAAGTTTTAAGTTCATCCACCGATCAGGAAGGCAATTTACTCCACGATTCAAATTAACCAAGCGACTAAAAATGTCAATAAATACTTTCGTTCGTATAAAACCTAATAGAAAAGTCAATACCAAAAAATACATTTAGCATTTTAAATAGACTTCTTCTGTTAAAGGAAATCTGGGTTTTTTAAATTTTAATAGGAATGTGGAAAACTTATTTGTTTTGCTAATATGCACTATTGATAATGCTAATATTTTCAAAGCGAAACATAAAATTTCCTCATTTAAAATAAATCATGTGTGGCATATCTAATAGCAAAATATCAAATATTCCAATGCATTGCATTTCTTTTGGTACTTGTTCTGATCTGCATTGTTATCACTAATCCATCCTCACAGAGTCTACACTGACAGTTAATGAGCAGTTCAAAAATACCAATCACACAATTTCTGTGTGTTGAATACCTACCAATCTTTTCCCCCACTGTCCTCTATTTTAATCAATCATAAATCTATCTCCACACTTTAAAGCATGCATAAGTTAGAGAATAGGATAAGAAACACAGACCATTGTCTGTTGAAATTTGAAACAAAATCGATCTGTTTAAAAAGCTTTTCAGAACTGACTTGAGGGAGTTAAAAATAGCTCCATTAATTTTATTTTATAGAAATCATTAGACAGGTAAGTCCAACAAATCCTATTTGTTTTTTAAATAAGCATGGATTTGCTTATGAGCAAGCAAACTTTAACTGTTATACACGGTATTAAAATGCAAAATTATGTATGTAAAATTTAACAGATAGACAAAAGTCTTTTCTTCCAGAAACAGACTTTGCTGGCTCAGTGAGAATTCACTGCAAAACTTCTGCATTAACAAAAAAACCTGGAAAATAAGTTTCAAATTATTTAAATTTTGAGAGACAAAGCTGATTTGGTCAGGTTATGATCACTTCCACAGCATCAAAACTGGAAGTCTTCAATTTACTTTAAAAGCATATACAATCAGTGAAATACTGGTAAGACTTACTTATTTTTTTTCTTTTTTCCAGTCGAAAGTCTTGTCCTTTTGAAAAAGCACAGCTGTGCACATTTTTTGGCTAAGAGACATTTTTGTTGGAAGCAAAACAGTGGAGTGAAATGTAACTTTATGAAAAAAGATGTAAGTGGTAGAAAAATTAAGAATGTTTGAATATTGATTTCATAATGTCAGTATTCAAAATCCAGTAGCCAATTTGAATTGATAGTCTACAGTCTCTGTTTATGTCCAATCAGAAAACACAGGATTAATGCCTTCAGCACATCTTAGTACAGCAGAGGAATCCTACACATATATAAGCTTGGGGAGAAGAGGTAAAAACCAGATTTGGGAAGCTTAAATTCTGTTGGGAGAGGAAGAATGAAGGACTTGAAGCCATATATCCTACCACAATGTCAGCATGAAAGCAAAGGCTGCAGAAAAAATAGTGACAGACTGGTAACAGTGCTCTGATGTCACCTTGTGAAAGTTTTTGAGTTATCGACATTGACAAAGAATATCTTCTAAAAAACCATGTGATAAACCCTTTGCTGTTTACTGAAGCACTCTGGATTGATGATGTAATAATTTAAGGTAACCAGAAATCTGTTTTCTGATGAAAACTTCATGCTACAAGAATCCGATAATTTCCATATGGCACAATAAAGCCTGCATAACAAAAGCATCATTACTGGGTGACTTCATAAATAATTCAATAAAGCACATAACATTTTAGTGGTTCATGGAGAGAATAGTCTATGGTCCATGAAGGAGCCAGTGTACACTTCATATAAAAAACAACAGGAAAAAGTTTTACATCTTCTTTCAATCTCATTTCTTCCTAGTGCTTTACCATGAAGAGAGCAGCTATGGTAATTTTTATTGCATTTTTTGCTGAAATTTGCCTTTCCACATCTGATTACTGGCAATCTAACTTTTCTTACAACAGTTCAACTCCTAATATGATTTCCCTCTACGCCAATAAAGAATGTAGCTCCTGTATTTCCTATGAGCCTATGGCTTCCTGAAATGAAATTTAATTTTGTTTTTCTGCATAAAATTCTAAAAGGATACTAAGATCCTCATCTAATTTTTTTATGAGGCTACATGACTTTAGAAACATACATAAAAAGTATTTGAGAGACAAGGAATTTTAAGAACTTGCATCAAAACTAATGTCCGAAATAGGATTGCAATCTAAAATGTTACTCACAATCATAGAACTTAGACTGGATTATAAAAAATGCTAGAATGCAGTTTTCAGGTAAATATTATGGCAAACACGAATTACTGTGAGATATTTAAGCTCTGCCAAGTGATCTGCAGTATCTACCCACTTTTCTTCCTGTGTGGTAAACGTGAAGAAACACATCCTCTTTCAATCAGAGCTAGACTATTTTCTACCTATTAATTATAGAATTGCTGATGTGCTGTAGGGCAATTTCTTTTACTTTATTACCTCTTCCTGAAACATCTGATGTGGAATAATTCCAAAGTTATAACAGTTCAAAAATTTCAAATGGACTGTGATTTAATTCCTCCTACTGACATATGTAGGAGGAATGATGAGGAAGTCTCAGAGGAAATCCCTCATAAACATGTAAAAAAAGATAAGAAATACTTTCCTCACTGCGTTTTCAGGTATTTTGTCTCGATTTAATGTATTTGGGTATATATTACAGAGCACGGAATCATTTTTGAATATCTGATTATAATCTGAGATGAAAGGTGATTCACCATTTTAGTTCAAGAGCTGCTAATGCTTTATAATCACGGAGAGATGCCTGAGAGTGGGCAGCTACACAGATGGTACCGAGAAAAGAATACCGGTGTCTGCAAATGGCACTCCGCAAGTGGTAAAAGTAAATAATGTCTTCTAGGAAAGAACAAGGAAAACAATTCCCAGAATTGCCTTTGTCCACGTAACAGGACTCGTTTCAAAACAGGTATGCTCTTTATAAAATTTTTTTTCTAAGCCCAAAATAAAAGAAACCAAACCCAGTAAGTTTTAGTTGAATAATGTAGGAGAATGAATAGAAAATGAAATCATTAAATGTCCAGAAACATTTTTAATTAGAAGAGGTAGCAAGCACTGTGGAAAAAGAATCAGTATTCATGAAGATTTTGAAAAACTCAAGAGATGATGAAGATCAGTAAGTAAATTTCACCAGAAACAGATCAAAGTAGTTTGAGGAAACAGACTGACAAACTGATGCATTTATTACACTACAGATAAAACAATTCAGGAAGGAAGTTTAAGCATACTGGAGAATAATAGGACTAGAATTCAAAGTGAGCTTTACATGTTGGAGATACAGTCTAGAATAAAAGGACACTATCCAATAAGGATTAATGTCAAGTGTCCCACTGGGCTGAAACAATGAACTGCATAAACGGCACAATGGGAATCTTACTGATAAAGTAAAATTTGTATACAAAAGTATCTAGGGACTACAGCAGATCACAATATTACCAGAAAGTACACATAAAGACATTGGAAATAATCCTTTTTTTTTTTTTTCTCCCAGATGTTAAAGCTTCTGCTAGCATACAATTTTGGAATTTGCAGATCTACAAGGATGTACATAAACTAAAGACTGCCCAGAAGAAAGTAGCAAGAATCATCACAGGCTTAGAAAATATGTCCCAAGAGGCAAGGTTGAAGGAATTCTCCTAGTTTCATTGATGAAAGGAAGATTATGAGAAAACATGCCCCCCTGCACCATGGAAGTGACTTCAGTGTTATAGATTCTAAATATACTTTCAGATTTTATTTCCTTTTTTTGTCTTCAGCTGTTGGACATTCTGGGAACGCATTTTCAACACATTTTTCTAACCTCAACATAGTTAAAAATTTCCCATTTGAAAACTTAAGAGGGGAAAAAATCCTCTTGGCATTATCTGATTTAAGAGAAAACCCTTAACATCAGCAATGCCACATATCTAGTAAGGTACCTTGTACAATATATATCCTGTTGCTTCTTAGGTAAAATATATCTAAACTTCTTTTTTTTTTTTTTGGTCTGAGAAATCACAGATTAACATATTTCAATGATGGAACTTCTTTAATCCCCTGTATAGTTCACAGTACTGATCCTTTTTCTGATCCCTACAGATTAACTCTTCTTGAATGGACTAAAATTACTTCAGGAGGCACTCATTCAAAACTTACTCCATTTCTGACATACTATTTATACCTAGATATATGCAAAACTCTAAAAATATATATATATGTGTGGGTGTATGTGTGTGTATATAGGGTAGAGTTACATGATATAGTATGGTATGGAATGGTAGTGTGCAGTTTCTGCTATTATTACACACATTTTACAGCAAAAGTAAAGAGTTGATCTTGATTCAGAAAATGGGTTGATTTAAAGGTGAATGATCTCACATTCATTTCTCCCAAATTATCTCTAGTACATCTTCATTACTGTTGGAAGAAGTAAGAGGGGTCCTTAATGATTTAATTTTAGCTATCTTTTGATATGAATCATTGCTTTTTCTTTGATGGTAAAAATATATTCTGCTGGTATGTTTTACCTTGATTGGAAATTATCAAATAGAAAGTTGCATTTAGAATATGTAGAATTATGAAAATATGAAATCAGATACTTCTCTGAACTATACTTATTCTCAGTTCCTAGAAAAAAAAACAAGATATAGCATACTTATTACAACTTTCAAAAATATTTTCACAGGGGGAAAAGAAAAGTGGTTCAAACTGTGAAGTATATTGGTCATATCCTGGGTGTAAGAGTACTCGTTATGAGAAGACTGATTTGTGCAATTAATAATAAGCAATGGATCTGTTCTGCCTCTGTAGAGAAGTCTTCAGAAGGATAAGTCTGAGAAAAACTGTGAAGGGTCATGTTAAAGCTTATCTGGTTTGTAAATTTAATCAAGATCTACAAGGGGAGAACCAGATTTAGCCATAGCATGGTACGTTCTAAAAATATTTTCTACTCTCCCTAATGTTAAGGAGTTCATGCTCTTCAACATCTGCTCAGTAGAAGCTGTGTCTGGTGAAGCAGTACTGGCAGCTTCCATGCAGGTAGCCCAGGCATGAGCTTCACTACTCTGGTGTGTGTTTATAAATTCAAGCTTGAAATCATCAGTGCCAGAACAAAAATTATGAATGTTTTCCCCCAAATCCACGTCATGTTTACGACAAGGTACACAAAACATTATTCCCCTTTCATCATCATATTTTAACCAGGAATATTTTGTTAGCCATATTTTTGGAAATTGACGATTCGTCTTTCTTTTCCGATGTTCCAAATCTTTCTTCTCTTTCCCTTCGTCACCAACTTCTCTCTTGCTAGAAGAATTACTCTTGCTTTTAAATTGCTTCAGTGCTCTTATGGCTATAATTTAAAAAGAAACAACTAAATATATAAAGTTATTATTCCATAAAATGTCAATTGCATATTTTCTTTTTTTTGTCCATATTAATCTTGTTAATTTGGGACTAGACTGTGACTTGAAATAAACAGCCATGAAGGAGAACAAGGAAAACAGAGATCTACTCTTAAATCATTTGGAGACTACCCAGGATTGCTGTAAGAAACGGTCAGTTTTGACTTCCATTTCCTTTTGACTATCAGGGGTTTGTCAGAACATGCAATCAGTGAAGGGCAGCAGCATCAATACTGTTTTGGAAACAAAGAAAAGCACAGTTAGGAAGAGGAATTAAGAAGGGTCTTCAAGGAAAAATGTCTCCAGAAGATACTACTGAAGTCACAAACTTATTACAATGCCTATCATAACCTGACATTAGCAGAAAAGTTAAGTTGGAGCAAGTCTGTAAATACATAATCAAAAACCTGACAGAAAAGCTTAAGATGCTCTAAGGCACATGTAGCTGACATGATTTTCTTAAGATGTATTTATACACAGAATGATTTTATTACTGCTTTCAGAACAAGGAACTGTATAAGCTTCTCATTTTGTTCTCCAAATTAAAACAGTCTTAAAACATTGAGATTGTTTTTAACATTTCCCAAATTGTTCTGAAGATGGTCTTTCCTGTATTTTGTAGGAGAAAACATCATAAGCTGAAATTTTTGAAAATTTTATCTCTAGAGCATATGAATCTCCTACTTTTAGCCAGTAATTTAATGATTCTTTTAGTACATTGCTGCCAGAAAATTAGGACTTTAAAAGAAAGCAACCAGATAAAGATGAGAAATTACACGCAGAATGGAGGCAAGACAACTAGAAATCTATTTATTCACTGCAAAATAGCAAAAGTAAAGTCCTGAGCAAATGACCTAAACCCAGTCTGACTCCCCGCCCTCCTTATTGTGATGTGTACGTCAAGAGGCAAAATTTATGATTACATTAAGCTAATCATAGAAGGAAATGCTGTTCCTGGTGCCTTAACAGGTCTGAAGAAAACAAGTTTTTGTATGCCACTCTTTTCTATTTTACAGGAAGGAGCAAATTTTAATATATATTATACAATTTGTGAGAACTCTCTGTTCCCATTGTCGTAAAAAATGGCAGTTTGATTGTTCCATTCTATTCTAAGCATCCTGAAAGGCCATAATATTAAAAAAAGTTAGGAACATGCAGTTTAAGTACATTTGAGTGATCCTTTCAGAGAACTTTAAAACTGAGGTAGCAGCTGTGCTCCACATGGACAGCAAAACCAACTAGACCACAGAAGGTTTTTCTGACGTGCACAGGAACCATACCCAGGACCCAAAAGATGGGCAGAAGTATTCTTAACATACAGTAAAGATTTAAAATCTTTCCTAACATTAGGAAGCCACAAACTCACAAGACTAGGTGAAAAAGAGTTGGAGAGATGGATTAATGGATCTGCAACTTCAGAAGTCAAAGGGTGGAAGGGACAAAATCACTGTAACATATTTATAGTGCCTACTGCTTCTTGAGGGGTGTGGGCACCTGTAGAAATTTCCTGGTGCTTAGAAAATAAGGGTCAGAATAGACCTGTGATCCACTGCCAGGGAAAATATTCTCTGTAAGACGGACCTTAAATGTTACCAACATTTTTCAGTTTCCATGTAGAAACTGGGAACATAGGAAAAGGTGGGATCTGTTGCAGTAGTACTTTGGAAAGAACACAGGATACAAAAGGAAGCCAGCCTGTACTACTTATGAAGCAGCCTCTTTTTCACATAAAGTTTGTCATCAATGAAATCAAAAAGTAGGAAAAGCTACACAAGGTGAAGTTGTTTTTCATTAAAACCTTGTTAAAAGGTAGTATCATTCCCTGATACACAAGGTGACATTAGAAAGCCTTTATATGTTTCAAAAAGCAGTGCAGAAACATCATAAACAAATGCAAAAAGTAATTAGTGAAGAAATTAAGATTATGACCGCAAATGAAATTGAAAACAGAAAAATTAAACATCCAAAAAGGAGCATTAAGAATGATAGTAGTGCAAGTATACACTGGATTTGTACCGTGTGAACCAGGACTGGGACATTTAACCAAAGAGCAATCACCCTGCACAGATATAAAAAAGAGATTTTTTTCAATAACACACCAATCAACAGAATATTTTCATACAGGCATTAAAATATTTCTCTAAACTGAGAAAGTAGTATATCTCTATTAAAGATTCAGATTATAAATTTACACAGGCAACAAACCTATACTAAAGATGAGAATTATGTTAACATTATTCCCTTTTCATAAAATTTTACCAGAACATTTGAACAGATTTTCACTGAGAAAAATATTTCCATAGTAATATCAAGAGGTTTGGATGATGATCCATGCAAATTATGTACCAGACTCTGTAGCATGAGTGAAATAAACCTTGAGGATGAATTATATTCATCTAACTTTAGTAGTCTAAAAGGCAATAATATGGGATATTTCCATACTTAGATGAAAAAGACAGGTATTTCAAATATATGATTCTTTCCATCCAAGTTATTGAGAGACTCATCACTCCCTCCAGGCAAATTTCACTGTAAATATTTACATCATCTATTTACTAATTATTACTGATTCTGCTATATGTCCAATCCTAAATAGCAAGAATTGGGATTTTAAATTTAGAATCACAAAGAGTAAGGTATTTCTGGTGCTGCACAGATGCAATGAGGGGTGAGGTCCTCTGTTGTGCTGACTGAAATCTTAAAATTGGATATATATATATATATATTCAAAGGCACAGAAACATTTACAACCATGTTAAATATGTTCCATACAAGTAATTAGATACAGAGATTTATAAACACCATAGGCAAATAGTCGCAAATTTCTGAAATTAAGTAACATACATGATTTAGTAAGAGATATAACAGCAGGTTTAAATGGAACTTTCAGTAGAATTACCAAGTTTTCATCTAGTAAAAGATATGTCCTCTGTCTACAAACTTAACCTTTCTTATTTTCAAGTTTTAAAAAGCACATTGAAAATAAATAATCTCGAAAAAATGTAAGTTAGAGATGATGAGCCTATTTCAATGCTCATGTATGAACTTCAATCCCTACACACATCAGTCAGGTCATGATGATTACATCAGTCAGGTCATGATGATTACTAATGTAAGATCCTGAATTGCTTCTAGAGTGCTTGGGAAGAGAAAGCATAATCTATAGACATTATCCAGGGTCAGAATAAAATTCTGATTCAAAAAAATATTCTATTAAAAAGGCAAACAATTCAGTTGAACTACATGAACACTTTAATATATCTATTTGTTCCAAATCTAGCAACACAGTAAAATTCAATTGACAAGCCTACAACTTGAAAAGAAATAGCAATACAATTTGGTTATAGGCTGTCCTTTATGTTCACATCTTAGCAGACTACTTAATAATTTCATAAATATTTTAGACTTTTTTTTGTTATTTGATATAAAAATTTTTTAAACCTGACTGAAGTTTATTTCTGATGAATAATGGCTTCTATAATTAAATTGGAATGGTTCATAAAGATCATGACTATTAAAAAAAAAATAAAATTTAAAATTCCCTTGTGTGATTCAGTCATAAGAGGGAGAACATAGTCTGGGATAGAATCCAATTTGATCTGCTTAGTAATGAAAAGCCATACCCAAATTGCATTTTCTGAAGAATCTTTAGAAGAGAACTAAGACATTCCATATGTATGCTAAATGTAATGACAAGAGATGTGGTCATACAAAGAACACAGTGCTGAAGGGAAGCAAAGGGGATGAGATTTTATAGATATGTTAGTTTAATTTTGTTGATAAGAAGAGCACACATCCAAACAGACCATAGAAGAGAAAATAAAAAAAGTAAGAGTTAGTAGCTTGACATGCCACAGCTTTTCCTATAAAAAAGCATTTCTGAGATAACATATTAGAGCACTGTCAACAACTTGATCAAAAGAGTTAGTGAAATCATCAATTATTGGAGAGCCATGTTGAGTTTGGGTAATGGCATGTGGAATAGTAAAAAAAAAAATAAGTATTTCCTTATCAAATGAAAGACTGTCAGTAGGTAGGAAGGTCCAGCATAAGCTGGGTTTTTTTTGTCCATCGCTGCTTATAATGGAGAGTAATGTGCTTCCATGGAGAACCAAGTGTGCAGGACAGTACAAAGTTGTCTGTGGTGAACCGGCAGTTCTTTAAAACTTTAAATTCCTAGGAAACACAAAACTGTTTACAATTTTTATATGAATTCTTTTGTGAATATCAAAATTCTTTAAAGCATATTGGTACGCCAACTTCTAGCTTTAATTTTAGCAGTTTGTTAAACGTATCTTGAAAAGACTTTTGACATTTAGCAAATATCCAGTAAGAAACCTGTTTACATGTTCACTTCTTCCAACATAATCACCCCTTCTTTGTTACTCTTTATGTGCTTGCTTTCTAAGTAAAAATCTGCTTCATGTAATCTCCATAATGCTTTAAAAAAGCCTAATATGCAATTTTGAGAACCACTTCAGGAATTTTGCTATTCACATACTACAAGGAGATTGGCAGGTTTATTCTATTTAGACTTGCCTAATAGCCTATGCCTCATGTGCTTGTTTGAGTGGACTTCCATTAAACACTGAGAGATCTGCTTGGGTGGGTGAGAATAAGAAAAAATAAGATGTTTGGCAGCACATCTAGATCAGTTTAGAGGTTCTCCAAGGCAGGGATTTGTTTGTTAGTTTTTTGTATCTGCTTTAGAGCTGCCAGTCAACAATTTCACTGCCAGTGTGCTTGGTGCTTTAGTGTTTTCCCCTCTTTTGTTCAGTAGAGACTAACTACTAAGGAGGCATGTATTTTATGTCGAGCATTCTATTGAACAAGGAGAAATAGAAAGATATGAAAAATTTTCCTAATGTTTTAGGAGAGAAATGAGTTTATAACGAAGGGGAGCAGTTGCCTTAGGAAATGTAGGACACGATTTATGTCGTCTTAAAATAAGAAAAAGAATGGGAAGAAGTATTTTAAAGATGACTTGCACAACTTGTGATTTTCATCCTAATTCAGCTATCCAAAAAAGGTAAATATCTTGACTTAATAGTCACCAGACACTAGAAGAAAGCTTTTGCATGTTTTTGGGACCTTATTTTAAACAATAATTCCCTCCCATTGTCCCAGACAGCATGCACCACCATTCCTTTACTGTCTCAGGACTACTAAGTCAAGATATTTCGTTTTTTGGGTACCATGCAAGTCATGTTGGGTCATTTTAGTGAATATAATATTATCAAAATGGCAAATACTGTAACAGATAAATATTTCAATTGTTTTCTTGCTAATTATTACAAGTATACAAGCAAAGTAGTTGGTCTGTCTTGAAGTTTGTAATAGACAAATTTTTTTGGTTTTAAATATCTTAAAGAATGAGTGACTTAAAAGCAAAAAAACCCCTTTTTAAGTGAAAGGACCAGTCATACTGGTATCTGTGTTCCATCTCTCTGGCACTATCTAATGATTACAAACATACAGATTTTTTAGTTTTATGTGTCATAGTGTATGCAATACTATCTGCAAAATTAGTCTCTACAGAAGATTTTGAAATGCTTACACACACATCCACACTCCTCCACTATAGATGAGACGATATGCATCTCTCTAAGGGAAAACTGTAAACATCTTTCTGCCTAAAATGGTTTCATATGCAAAAGGAAATTAGAATTGCTCTATAAATATTCATAAAAGCATTTCTGAATAAAGAATTAAATTCAACATCATAGTGCTTTGTGGCCTTATTACATTGGAAGAGTTAGATTTAAAATTGCAAGTAGTTGTTTACACACTGTATTTCACAATCTTAAGGGTAATCATACTAAAATTATAATATGGAACACTGGTAGTAATGAAACACTGCAAATACGTGTGTAACTACTTTCCATCTCAGTTTAAAAACTGTCTTACCTAAATTATTTTGTAACATTTGTACAGTCGTAGGAAGTTTTGCAAGTAAGTCTCTTCAAGCACCCTAAGCCTAAGGTTCCCATAATTAGCAGGTACCCATACAATAAGTGCACATTCAAAGGAAAAGAAAAATTACATATTTGAGTTAACAAATTACATTATCTAAGTTAAGATCCAAAACAGCAGGCACACATTCACTGGAAGAATATAATGGTTAATAGTTATAATAGACCCTTTATAATAGTTTCATAAAAATACTGATTTCTTTAAAATTGTGTTTTAAAATAATACAGCTTCGGTGTTCACTGAGCTGTCATTTAGTAAACAAGTTACAGACTTGAATCTTTAGCAAGCACGAAATGTACCCCTCTAAAAACATATTACAGCGGCAGCTGTTGGAGGAATATTAAATATGTGGTCCTGTGGATACAAAGCCCACAACAAAGACATTAGAAGCTTTCAAGCGGTCTGGTACTTTACATTTTCAGTATTCTGCACTACGAGTTTTCGATGTAGTGGGATCTTTAACTCTAGCACGATCTTCATCAGTATGTTTAGTCATACTAATGTTTAGCAGCTCCCAGACAGTTACTCCAGATTGTGAGAAACTAACAGCCCTTTAGGAGTTAAAAGGAAAAAAAATCTCCTACCTTTAGGTGCCACCTGTAGAAACTGCTTATGAAGATTAGTGAGTTGTGAAATAGTTAGAGTACTTCTAGAGGTTTTTATGCGTGGAACTTGTGGTGCAGGAACAGGGTCAGGAACAGGGTCAGGAAACATTTTTACATCGCCATTGATGAAGAAATCTGTTTCTTCTAAAGTCATTTCATATTGGATTTTGCTAGAACTCTCAACATGATATCGTGCAGTCTCAACCAGCTTTTCAACACTGTGAAAGTGTGAGTGAAGAAAAACATGAGTACTTCTAAACACACAATGTTAATAACATAGCTTTAAATTTTAATGTGTTTACTCTTATAGAGCTTTTCTGAAATAAGAATTACAAATCCTCTGTGCAAATCCTGTAATCAGCAAAATCATTATGAAGTCTACTCCCCCTCTGGCAGCATGACATCTTTTGACTACGGTAAGAAATTTATATAAAGTCAGATCCAGGACACAAAAGAGACCAGATGGAAAAATATGAAAGCACTTCCTAGGGCAGCATTGTGGAGTGGCATATGAACTCTCATTTCAAATGTAATGAGTACAATTTATACAGGGAAAGACATTAGCTGTCTGTAACATTCAACTAGACACAGGCTTGGAGTGTCAGAACAAAGGATATGATGCTCTGTAAATACCGTGTCTTTGGCAGCACTTGTTGTCAGGAGATCAAATAAAACTGGCTGGAAGGCAGAGGCTTTGCCTGCTTGAGCTACTGCCTGTTAAAGCCTTCACATCCTACACTCATGTCTTTCTTCTCGGGCAGGCCCTGAGATGGATCAAGTAGCACTGTCCCAGGTATGATTTAAAATTTAGTACAGGGCAGAAACACTTTACAAAGGGCAAAGTGACCCCTCTTCTTTGGACAGTAAAACCTCTTTAATGATATGAACATAGGTCATTCTATGCCAGATGGTCTAAGTGTCATACAGTGGTCCAAAGCACATTTCAGTTACTCAGACAGAAAAATTGCAAAGGAGAATTTTTTTAATGGTCTTTGAAATAATTTTGAGAAATGTTACAGAAAGTGGTAATAACTGTAGGTGGAATTTTCCAACATGTGTAAAGCACAGGAAACAAAATGATCTCACATTCCAAAGTGACAGAAGCCATGGAAATTATACAGAGGCTTCTACTAAATGGAATAACTGGCTGTCTGCTTGTAAATCTGCCAAAGCTGTAGTCCAATAAACAGACTAGAAATATATAAGAGAAAAATAGCAAAACTGATAATTACCTTTACAGTTATCAGCAGAACCTTCTAGGAAATCAGTTATTACCATCCAGGTATTGAAGATAAAATGAAATTTCAGTTCATGAAATAAAATTATTATTTTAAATTTTTTTCCCCAAATTATTTCTCCTTATATAAACTACTGTATTTACTACTATAGTCTAGGTAAAAAAAAATAAAATTGTTTAAAATTGGTATACATTACCCAGCCATTTCTGCCAGGAAGGTGGATCCAAGCCACTTTTCCATATCTCTGTAAGCCTCTTCTGCTTTCATTTTTAGGTCTTCAAGAAATGCTAAAGCTTTTTCTTTTATAAGTTCTAGTCGAGATTTTGTGGCTGCCTCTGTTTAAATGGTAATGTCATAATGAGTAATATTTATAAAATTTTAGGAAGTTCTCAGTCTTAAGCACCTAAAATTTAGCATGATTGCCTGTTTTTAGGCAGTAAAATACTTACTTAATTTCTCATATTCTTGAACAAGTTATTTTCTCACAATCATCTCTATTGCATCCTGTTTTCTACAAAAATGTGTATTCTATAAGCATCAGAATTCACAAGTCAAGAAATAGCTTACTAAAACTAACACAGTGGTACAGGGAATGTCAAACTAAACAGTGACATTGAACAAAATTAACACAGCAACAGACCTAAAATCTTAATGATACAAGTGTGAGTATTCTGTTATGAAAAAATGTTACAGAAAACACACCTAAATCATTATGTATGTTAATCATAAGAAAAGTTTTCTTTTCTATTTCTAACCTCCAACCCTTTAAAATTAACCTCACTTGTTCTGCCCCATGCTTCCTACATATCCATTTTACATCTTCAAACTCAGATTGCATTAGAAAAGGGGTTGGTTAGTGAGCACTAAGAAAATAATTCACCTCTACCAAAATTATGCATAGAATATCTACATGAAAATTTTAAAAACATTGAGAATTTAATGATAATATAGTTTAATATGGTCTGCTGGCTGCTCTGGCACCTTATAGGACCTTACAGTACCTAGAGGGGCCTTATTAGAAAGACGGGAACAGCCTTTTTAGTAGAGCCTGAGCGAACGGACAAGTGGTGATGATTTTAAGGTAGAAGAGGGTAGATTCAGACTAGAAATAAAATTTAGTGTGAGAGAACTGGTTACTGTAAAACACTGGAAGATGTTGCTCAGGGAGGTGCCCCATCCCTTAAAACATTCAAGGTCAGGTTGGGCAGGGCTCTGAGCAACCTGATCTAGTTAAATGTGTCCCTGCCTTTTACATGGTGGTAGACTTGGTGAGCTTTAAGGGTCCCTTCCTACCCAAATATGACACTGTATGATTTTAAGAACAGGATGCCAACTGCATGAAAAGGCAGCTAAGGCAATATATTGAGAGGTATATGGAACTGGGAAAAAGCCTTAAAAAAAAAGACTAAGGAAAGAAGACCAGTAGATAGTGATTATTTTCAATCCTTAAGGCAAATTCAGTATTCAACTTGGTTTTTCTTCATATTTAACCCTCTGTATGACAGAATCTTTTAAATAAATACTATTTTATAGTAATTGGTACAGTGACTTCAAAGTTAAAGACTGTCACATTATTTATATAACTATATTTATTGCACATTCTATTAATTTTTAAAAATACTTAGGTTTGGGGATGAAACCTTCTTTAGGCAACCAATGTAAAAAGATGGACTGCAAAAAACCAAAAAATAAGGCATTGTTCTTTAAATGTGATATTGCAGTCATAGCATAATGCAACTCTGCACAATTTCTGTTTTGAGCAATAAAGAGTTGATGTTCAGCATTTTAAACATTTGTGTCTTACAAAGGGTTTTTTAATTGACAGAAAAAAGTAAAGGTTCTAAGTTGAAAGTACCTTAGAGGATACATTGTGCCTGTGTAGTAACCTTTCTATAGCACAGTTTAAGGCTACCTTAATTGTGACTTCTCTGCACATTCTTTGTGAAGCTGCTATCAGTAGTTACAGATTTTTGTTTAGAAGTAGGCACTGCACACAGTTCACCAACAAAGCTGCTCTCTTAACAGTAACAGAGTAAAAGGCAAGGTACTTTGATGCAACAGAGAAATGATACATGAAATCAACATTAAAAACTTAGCAACTATCCACAACTAATCACTTTGCTAGACTCAGTGTAGCTGAATAAGCAAAAGAACAAGTTCCCAAAGCTTCAAGTGAAACTATGATTCTCAAATACCAACTACATGCCTGTGCAAATAGAAAATACAGCTCAACGTGTTTAGTGTTCCTTAGGTTCTTGGATTTTTTCAAATATAGGATAAAAATAAAGCAATGTAAAGAAAACAAAACACGTTAATGAATAACATTCATCCTCATGCTACTAGGATCTTCAAAGTTATTACTATTCTGCTTACTACTCCAAAACCTTGGAATATTTATTCTTAGACTGCTTTTGTATTAAAACATGTTGAAAGTGGTAGGTGTACAAGCATTTGACCTGCTTGGACCTGAAGAAGCCTTATGAATTTGTGTTTTGTTCATTAACCGCTGTTTGCCCTCTAACTTTCATAACAAAAAACTATGCAATAGTTAGCCCATCAAAGAGGTAACATTATGGTAATGGGCTTGCCAACTGCTGCCAGATAGAATCTGTAACAGCTAGGCTCTATCTTCCCAGTGATAAAGAGGTATTTTTCTTTTAGTTTAAACCCATCTCCAAAAAAATTTTCAAACCTCTTTCAATCTAGGACTTCTTTGTTTCAGACATCTACTTTTGGCTGAACTGGCTTAGAAGTTATTGGATAAGACAGACAAAGAGACAGAATAACTGAAAAAATACGTAGTTTTTGAAGAGTCTGTCTGTAAAGGAAGCTTGGAAGAATAAAGAAAATCTGTATCCTGCTGCTTGAATCCCATGTGGCTTGAAGAAGAGGGAATCAGAGAAAGGAAATCAAGGAAATATACAACTGCCAAAAAATTCTTTCCCATATGAAAATATTTCAAATACTGAACTCAATTCAATTGAACACTGAAAAGTGGCTAGCCACCAATGCTAAGCCTTTACTCTCGTGGCAAATATTTGCTTAGTCATGCCAAATTAAATTAGATGAAAAGAAACAGAGAACAAAAAGAATGAAAATCACATTTCTACTTTTAATATATTTATCACAAAAGCACTGGCAATTACCACCCTAAAAAAATCCTGATTTCTCCAAACACTACTCTCTTCCTTTCTTTTTTCCTTCTTATCCATCCATTTTCTCTAGTGTTTCTGGCTAGTTTTGACTATTACACTACCTAAATTAGGAATAACAATCACCTCCCAATACAAATAACCAAATAATAACATACCCTCATGTTTCAAGGCACTCAGATGTTCTTGTTTTATTTTAAGTGCCAGTTCTTGTTTCTTCAATTCTTCTGGGTCTAAAGGAATTATACTGACTTTCTTCCGTGATCCTGCAGGAAAACAGAGCTTTCAGTCTTTGGACTTCGCTAGTAAATTTGAGTATCAATACACAGGCACTTATTAGCATTTTTTTTTTAAAGAAAAATTACACTTTCTACCTTACTTGATGTGACCATTATGAGAACATGCAGGTGGGAGCTCAGCTATCAAATGTGATTTAGATCTGCAAGTCATGCTAAGATTAACACTCCATGAACATACCCCAGAGTATACAACTGTATTAAAATTGCTCAAAGGACATCCTAAAATGTATTTCTGAATGGAAAATCATGACTGAGTAGGTGTGCTTCTGTTTTGACCCTAGATGGTCAGAATGTCCTGTTTGACCCTAATATCTACCAATTTATCACAATCAGCAGATAAATAAACATCTTTTGAATAACACTTGTTCCTTTATGCCTTTCCAAACCATTCTGTAATCTGCATTATCAGCTTGTTTTAAGTTGTTTATCTATGAACAGATACTGTAAAGGTATTTTATAATGTTCTTAGAGATCCTGTAGCCATGTCACTTTGGCTATTACTCAAAAATATTAAAATGTTTGTAATTGCTTTATCCTAGAAGAAGAGCAGATGGGGATGATACACAAAAAAAAAATAATGACATCTGCATGATAGATAAGGTCAACATAAAGCAAATGGTCAAATCGAGAAATGACAAAACTGCATGTGGTAAATTGTATCACTCAGTTACTAGCCCACAGCTCCTTCCCAGGGAATTCTTGAGTCACAGGAACTCAGTGTTTGACATTAACATTGTGTTTGACATTAAATCAAAGTTGATACTTCAGTTACAAATCATCAGTTGACACTTCCTCTTCTACCAGGAGGAATGCACAGCTGAGTTCTCGTTGCATTTCTATCACTTTATGGTTTTCTGATTTCAGGTAAGCTGTCTGGTACCAGGTAGGAACAAAAATTTAGTTCCAAGAAGCAATCCACAAACTCTGACCTAGCCACTTAGCATACAGCAGGTGATGACTGCTGATTTTTTTCTCACAAAACTTTTCTAAAAGTCTGAAAATCTGCTACTCTCTTGGCTGGACTAAATGCTAAACTAAGCCTCCAGCTCTCTGGGGCTCACAATTGGCTAAGTATTTGCAAGGCTATGCTTGTTCGACCTACTAAGGGCAGAATCAACCAGAGGGAGAAAACTGAGCAGAGTGCAAATTAAATGTCCATAAAAGAAAAAAAGTCACCTGCTTTATGCACAATAACTCTGCAGTTACAGCTTTCTCACTTGGAAATGGAGTACCTGAACTTCAGGTTACCCTCACATTGCAGGGCATGAGCCCCTCTCTTGACATGTAGAATGCCTACACAAAAGATAAAAGATTCAGGCTACTAGCCTTGCTTCCTGCTGAAGTTAGGACATTTTGCAGGAAAAAAAAAGTGGAAGTTACATAAACCACTACCTGCACAAGGAAGTAGTTATGACAAAATGTATAAACAGCCTTGTACGCCACAATCCCTTCCAGCAGACTGCCTGTTCCCCTTTTGCAAATAAATTAGGACAGCAGTTTCTTACCAGGCCTACATTCGAGATCTCTCTCAATAGGAGTTGCTTTTTTTTAAGACTATAGATGATATTAGATTCTATGTTCTTTATTTACACCACATTGCAGTTACAGATAAAAATTACGGACATTGATTGACCCATGCTACTATATGGCTACTAAATTAATTTCAGTATATTTTAAGATACTGGATAATTTACTCATTCCATTCCAGTCCCATTATTTTAATTGTTGAAGAATGCAGTCAGTGCAGCTAGCTTTGGGAACTGCAGGCTGAGTTCTGGGTGGTGGGAGCCTGAGACAAGAGGCTGTGAATTGGCACCAACCCTTTGCAGAACAAAGGGCCCGGGGCCCTGTGGCTCTGCCAGGGGACTGGACACCCAGAGACACAGCAGGAGACAATGACCCCAAACTTTTGTGCACTTAGACTGTGAGTGTATAAGAGCCCAGGGTTTCCTTTGTTCAGGGTCCCTCCTTGAAGGCACCAGTTCAAGCTGTTATCCTGTTGTTGCACCATGATTAAATTATTTTAAGGATCCAGATGTCTGAGACTGCCGTGGGAAACCTGGGATGGAGCCTGAAAGGAAACCTGGACTGACTGTGCAAGTGTGGGCTGTGTAAGGAATCAATTGGGGACCTGTCCATTCACTGGAGCCCCCTGCTTTGAAGGAACCTCAGTCCCAGCTCAAGTGGTGCAGAGTGTGACTGCCAGAGTGGTTCCTGGATGGTCAGACAGGGAAATTTCCTTAATATTAATATTTGAAATATTTTGACTTATAGCTGGCAAATAGGCAGAATTTAATAGAATTTTATTTAATTTGATAAACTAGTTCTAACTATTCCATTCCAATACAGAACATGGAGAAAAAATATTTATGTGCTATTTAGAATCTTTATTGCTACATATAAAGACAACATATATGTTTAAATAAATGCAATTGCCATTCAAAAACCTCTGCCCTTTTTTATCACTACCAGCTTTTTATACTGACACGTCACACTTTACATTTTAAAAGAGAAAGTAAATACAAATTAAATATCTTGGCTTATTCATTTCTGTATTACTCACATATTTACATTTCAGTAATTTCAAGTACTACTGAAATTACTAAATTACTAAAATACAAAGTCTGTATTTTAAATACCTTTCTTCTTAGTAAGTGATTTGGTAGAAGGCTTTCTGACATCTTTCCCAGCAGCTTTGCCTGAGCGTTTCGGATCTTCTTTCAGTTTTTGCTGCTGATGTTCTTCTTCCTCCATTTCTCTAAACTCTATTTCAGCTGTTACCTTGACACCATAGTCACACACAGTACAGTACATAGCATCAAGTCTGTGCAATTACTGTTTCAAATTGCCTATATTTGCTGAAAGTACTTAATGATAAGTAGACACATAAATAAAGGAGATACTTTAACTAATTGATTAAACTTTGATTATTTACCAAAAATATAATTGTACATCAAAAATGCAAGACAGAGGCAGAGTGGGTTTAATTTTGTAATCATTCCCTGCGCTCAAGGAAAATGTGAGAAATGCAAGAATCAACAGTATAGGAAGCAAGCCTAAAAGTTATGTGGCAAGGGTGCAGAAATTCATTTATTTTTAAATGATCACAGAGAAAAGAAAAATTAAACCTAGAAACCAACCATTTTAAAAGCTCACCTAATTTACTTTTAGCTATATAGAAAAAAGAATGTAACTATAGCTTTTCAAGCTGTGAAAGTTTTGAGCAAACACTGCATCACAGGATTAAAATTCTCCATCTTCTCACACTTCTACAGAGGGGGAAGAGGAGAGTTTATCATGGAAGAAGTAGATATACAGAGGCAACATTCAAAGTATTTCTCTCAGTAATGGAGTAAAAGGGTCAGTTATAAATACAGAGATGCTGATAACACACAGATTCCAACACTTTCCTCACAGAACTACAAAAATGTTCAATGGAAATATCAGCAGTGGAGCAAGAGGCATGAAATTGAGATACACTGTGAAAGATGATGTGTTTAGGCTGCCTGCTGAATGGGAGGCTTTGAATGTATGATCCAGAAATGGTTAAGTAAATAAAATATTCCTTACCATATTTGATACTGCTGTTACTGCTTTTTGCCATGTATAAATAATAAGCCTTTCATCATTCCTGCAAGTAGCCAGTCCATTTTCAGAATTCTCAACGTTAGGACTTGCCTGCAGAGTTCCCTTGTTTTCTGTCCCAGCATTAATTTCTGGTGAAAACAGTTTCCAAGAAACCAGAGGAATCCTCAAAAATAAAATATAAGCAATAATTGACACATCCCTTTGCAAAAAGTGTTAGCAACTATATCAGAGAATATGCCAAAAAATTAGAATGCTATTTTCAAAATTTCCAATGGCAAGAGAAAATGACCAAAAGTGAAGAAGAGCATACATGAGAAGAAAACTGTCCAGTTTAACGATTAACAGCCAAGGAATACGAACAGATGGATAAAACTACAGCAAATGACTGTGTGATATGCTGATGAATTCCACATGGGTTAGAAGCACAGTTTTAATGCTAAGACATTTTCTAAATGCACTGCAAGTAAGTTAAAAAGCAGGTATCAATACTGATGGCATTTTTTATATTGTGAAATTATCTGATGGTATCCCTTACCTTTTAATATGGCATTCAGTTCTGTGCATCTTTGTAGGTTGCTTTGATTTACATTTGTCATTACACAACCCATTTAATTATGCTAATTGGTGCAAATTTAAAACCTGCTAATGTTCCACAATAATATTTTAACTTATTTATGTGAGGATTGTGAGGGACATAGGAAACATTCCTATAGTAGATTTACTCCTAAGGCAGCCTTTACATTTTATAGTTCAGGGATGCATTAGTGAATGTGATATAGGTAAATCAGTAAAAAAATCAGGGGTACATGTAACCTATAAGATGATTTAAGATCCATCATTTCAGTATAATCCCTGGCTAAAAATTCTTTCCCCATCCTTCTAAGTATACACACATATACTTCCACATACACCCACAAAGTTATCAGTGCATTGTATTTGTTCATATTTGTATAATTTAATAATGCATTTCTACCTTTTTGATTTGTCTTCATCTTCCTTCTGCTCTACAGCTTCCTTCTGCTCTGCATCTTCCTTATCTACATCTTCCTTCTGCTTTACATCAAAAATATCTAACAGTGGGATTCTAGTAAAATCTTTACTGTCTTCTGTTGGGATTTTTCCTTCCATTGACCTATAGTAGTCATGAAGAATTCTCTTTGTATCTTGGAAACGATCCATTTCAACCTCGAGAAGAAAAGATAGAAGAATTGTAATTCAAAATAGGACAGAACAAAGTTCTGTTACTTTTTTAAATACATGTTAGCAGAAACAATTCTAAATCCTAAGAGTTTGAAGGAGAAAAAGAAGCATAACCATTTACAGTGTACTCAATGCATACTTCTACTTGCATCTATACCGTATTCACACTGCTATTTCTAAGGAGTAATAAGAATCTTAGTTGTTAAAATAGCAAAAATAGGAAAAATCCTCTACAATCAATAATCATAGAATCACAGAATACGCTGAGTTGGAAGGGGCCCACAAGGATCATCAAGTCCAGCTCATAGCCCTGCACAGGACCACCCCAAAGAGTCACACCATGAGCCTAACGTGTATCACATTTAATCACAATATATTTTGATGTATACATATTTCTATAGTAGAAAGTATACTAGTGCGAGCATATTACATGGATCTTTTTTTCAAAGGAAATAAAATCCTTAATACCATAAAATAAAAAGGGCTATGGATGGAAAAAATTTTACAAGTCATACAGTTTTTCTGGATCAAAGAAATCAACAGACTTTAACACACCTAAGTGTCTTGAAGATCTTTTTGTGTGAATCATCTCAGAAGAAATCAAGTAAGATTCAAGAAACATTTAACACCTGTCATGTTTTGATTTATTGATACAGTATGGTGTTAGTCTCTAACTGACAAAACAGCACTACATATTCATGGGAAAATGCACAAAACCACATTCACAAAACAAAGGATAAAACCTTTGTGGTGTAAACCAGTACTCATCCATGAGTTAAGGAGGAAATATTTTCTATTATAACTGTGTGTACACAGAAAGATGGAATGAAATCTGATAAATGGCATTTATACAAATCTATATGTTCATGCAGTTACAGAGCCACCTGGGGAATATATGTAACTTTCAACAGAAAAACCCAAAGATGGAGAGCTCAAAATCAAAGAAGTCTGTTTCTGGCTGTTTCCAAAAAAAAAAGGATCATTACATAAAGTTACAGTTATTATATTTTTAGTTCTGCAGTTTTAGGATTAATAATTCAGTTATTTTGGGGAATATATACTAAGTAAAGAAAGAAATAATGTTTTCCTTTAAATTTTCCTTTATGAAAATAAAAGCTTATCTATGGTTAATACATGTGTTTGTAATTTTAAAGAGTTACTCTGCATATACACACAAGACAGATCAAAATAGATTCACAGTGAATCTCCACTGGACTGCATCATATCTGTCCATGAAATTCTGTTAGAATCAGGATTGTAAAGTTATATATGATTATAAAAGGAGAATAATAAAATATTTAAGCTCTGTAACATTACTTTAATTTGTCTCCCTTATGCATATGATTCAAGATGGATTTTTTAAATAGTCAGGCCTGTAAATACCCTAATTACAGGATTAATGTGGTTCAGCTAGTCAGGAGTTATTTGATATTTCAACCTCTCTCTTTAGTCACTGGCCTTAAGTCTTTCTTTAGGGCATTACTTAGATTCTTTGAAAATGAAGTTAACAATTTACTTACTGGAGCAACAGACTGTTTCACAAACTTTATATTTAAATTACCATAACACTCACACAAGATAAGAGAGTGGCTCCCTTGTTTATTAAACATATTAAAGTCACACATAGAATTAAAGGCACGAAACCCACCCTAAACTCTTAGGTCTGCTTTTTTCAGCTAAATCATCATCACAAGGTATGTGTTTAAAGCATTGTTTTTATTGTCTTCTTTAAAGTGCCAAAACTTTCACAGAATTTTCACTTCAGTTTACAGAAAAGCCTGTCTAGTCTAGTCTATTCCAGTCCAGTTCTAAATCAAATTTATGCACCTAGAACAGAAGTAACAGGGAAATCTTACTTTACTGCTCTTGAAAAATTTAAGGGTAGATATCTGAAAGCTGGGTCATATTTGAATGGGTTTTCTCAAGAGCAACAAATGATATCTCAATATCAAAAACATACCTTACTTTTTGGTTTTCAGTGTGTAGATAAAATTTCAAGCCACGTTGGTGAAGTTACAACTGAAATAATTTTGAGATACAGGAAATACTGTAACATCAAGTAAGTCTACAACAGAGGTGAATTATGTACTTCGCAAATTAAATGGAGATGTCAATACGATTACAGAAGGATAAACATCTGTAACACTTCTGTTAAAAAAATCAGATGATTCACTGGAGTGATAAAATAGCAAAAAGTAGCACTGTATAACAGAGATTGAAAGTTTGGGGGGGTTGGCCAACAACAATGGTATTTTTCTTAACCTTTCCTGCCTGTATGGAATGTCACCTTTTTGTCTCTCAGCTTCCTAGACACATTCAGAAGAGACATGAAGATTTGCTTAACTAATTCTCAGTCTCTCACACATTTCTCTCAGGCTTACTGTCCTCCAAATCAGAGTCATTGTCCCCTTCCATTGCAGACTCTGTAGTGGTCTATACCTGCATAAGCGAAAAGAAATGGTTCATTGCAATTCCCCTGTGATCTGGCAGCCAGCCTTTATTCATGATATCAACACGTTCCTGCTCTGCTTCTTCCCTTCTGCTGTCACAGATATCCCAGAGAAGATCTCTTAGGTCCTAAAACACAAAATCAAATATGATAACTAACTATGAAAGAAAACTTAAATAACTTTATTTTATATATTTATTATTAATTTTTTGAGGGGTTGTGTATAGAGCATTGTCTCATTTGGGGTTTTTCTTTATTGCCATAAATATCAAAGCCTGGTCAAGCCACATGCTTATAGAGAGCTGACAGAAAGTGGTTTTACAAATGTACCACAGAGAAGAATACAAAGACCTGAGTTCAATGTGTAGGCTGCCTTGCTTTTCCTCAGGCAGAGATAATCTATCAAAGCTAGACAAACATGAGACTATGAATAGCTAAGCTCCCAACTGCACCAACTTTGCAGTTGGATGGTTTGCTAACCAATACACTAAGAATAATATTCTAAGGGGATGTGCAGCATGAAAAATTCTGAGAAAATTATGCCAGATTTCAAGAGGTGTTCCAATTTGGATTGCCTCCATGCCATTTTTCTCCAACATTCTTTTAATTAAGGGCTCTTCAACTAATGTCTATATCTAATAGCAGCACTATGTGCCTCACTGACAGCACTGAAGACCTACTAAGCATAAAACATCCTTGCAAATCCCTTGTTCCCTATTACCATCTCTGCAGGGAAATAGCATGAACAAACCACTGTGTTGTAAGAGATCATGGGAAGAGATCTGCTAAATGCAATGCTAAGGTAGGACAAGATGACCTGTCTGTTGGACTCCAAGCAGTTCCGCCTCACCTGACCTGTTTTGGGATAAAAAAGGTGTTTTAGACTACTAGCCCTGCCATGAGGAGCTTAGCTTCAGTTGAGGTGATTCCATATTCACCAGGCCTTGGTCTCAGACTATTATGTCAAATCCTGTTTCTCTCTCCCTGTCCAAAAACTTCAGACAAATTCACTCATCCTCTGTTGAACAAAAGCCACAGAGAAGCTGACAAATAGGAAGCCCAAACACATTAGTGATGGCTAGAAGGTACTCAAGGTGCAGACAATCATCGTTGTCCACATTGTAGAATATACACCTAAAGATATGCTGCTGAATATAAAAGTATATAAGCATACAACTTATCTGTTGGCAGTGGTGGGTTGACCTTGGCTGGCTGCCAGCTGTCCACCAAACTGTTCTATTAGTACTCCTCACAGGAAAGGAGGAGAAAATATGATGGAAAAGCTCATGTGTCAAGATAATGATGGGGAGATCACTCATCTCTTATAATCATGTGCAAAATAGACTTGATTTGGGAAAATTAACTTAATTTAATGCCAATTAATAACAGAGCAGAATAATGATAAATAACACAAAACTAAAACCACCTTACCCCGCCCATTCTTTTTCCCAGGTTCAACTTCACTCCTGACCCTTCTATATCCCACCTCCTACCTGGCACAGGGAAAATGGGGAACGGGTGTTTGTGGCCAGTCTATTATACACTGCATTTGCCCTTTCTGCCCCCTTGAATTCTTTCCCTGCTCCAGAGTGAGGTTCCTCCCATGGGATACAGTCTTTCATGGATTTCTCCAGTATGGGTCCTTCCCAGAGAATTTAGTAATTGAAGAGCTGCTCCAGTGTGAGTCCTTTTTATGTGTGCAGCCCTTCAGGATTGCATTGCTCCAGTATGTAGAGTCCATGTCCTGCCAGAACACCTGCTCCTGCCTGGGCTCTTCCATACAGGCCACAGTTTCTGCCAGGAGCCTGCTCTGATGTGGGGTCTCTGCATGCCCATGGACTGGAGTGGTGAACGAATTCCTTGTTTTGCTTGGCTTGGTGCTTGATTTTTGCTTTACCTGTTAAACTGTCTTTATCTCAGCTCACAAGTTTTCTAGCTTTTATGATTCTCTCCCCAGTCCCACTGGTGGGGGAGGGAGGGAGTGGCTGCATGGGGCTTAGACTCTGGCTGGGGTTAAAACACAACAGCATGTCAAAGGAAGTCTTGGCTGCCCTTTGGGCTTTAGGCCTTTAAGAAAGTTCTCATACATCACAAAATGGGGTGGGATTTTATATTTTCCAGTCGATATCAGAGAAATTTTGTTTTCAGGTCTTACAGCTGGCCCTTTCTAGTGTTTTAGGAAAGGATCAGCTGAGATGACAGAGCTGAGCAGTCTAGGAGTTTGAGGAAAAACATTCTGAAGATTATCACTGCTTTCATTTCCTCTTTCTTTCTAGCATCAAGGAAGGACAGTTGACAGAATTCTTACAGTCAGGGAGGTACAATGGGCATGGCCTAAAAGCATAGAGGAGGTATCATCTTCACAATCACCCAAAGGTTTGGGATCTACAAGGAATGGAACGGGTCATTCAAAGAAAAAAATTCTGAAAATCATATATTCACTCCAAAATGCTTAGCCTTATCACAGTATCTGAGTCTCATTGCATCATATGGGAGTACCACCTCCTCTTAACAGAATCTGAATTGGACAATGTCAAACATGGATTTCTGTTACGTACAACAGTCCAAATATTTTAATTTTACCTTTCTAAAATATAGCACAGAGTGACACCAGTCTTTTTATGATTCAATTTAGCAGAAATTAGGACTATGGATGATGATTTTTAAATCCTCTAATTCATTCTATTGAAACAATTCTACAGAAAGGCAGGTCCATCTAGTGCTTTTTCTATCTCAGTGAATTAATCCACGATTTCACAAATGTTGCCTTTTATTAGCAATGTTGTCAATATTCTTTTTCCCCTTTTTTGGGAGCATTTTTCCTGATATGACTCAACTAAAAATCATGTCTGTTCTGAAATGGGAATCTGATAAAATCAAAGATAGTTGTACTTTTGGCTTATGTTAAATCTGGCTATGAACTTGTCAGAACTTTTACTGTCACGGATTTTTGTGAAGAAGAACACTCAGGACACGTATGACCTACAAAAATCTACCTGAATCAAAACATTTCAAGAAAATTCTCTGTACTTTGTATGAATGTTTTAGAAAACATATATTACCATATATAACTTATGGAAAAACTAAAATCTTGCCAAGATTTGTTAGATTGTGATAGAAATGGCCAAACTTGTAAAACCTCTGAAAACCATAAATTTAAAGAAAAAAAGAGCAGTGTACCAGGATACCTCAGTGTAACCTAAAAATTGAAGCAAGACATAAGAATATTATGGCCAAACAACAGAGAAATAACTGTGAAGAACACTTTATGCACAAGAGTAAATTAAATAGTTTAAGAGGAGTCGTAAAGAAGGAAAAAGAAGTTAATATCAGTCATGTCATATCAAGCTTGTATACAATGAATAATAGTCTAGGATATATTGCAAATTTTGCCATTTACTTACAGTAACTCTTTGGTGTAGTTCAGCTTTTGTTTCCTCATCATCTCGCAAGTCATCAGAAATTGAATTAAAATCTGCTTGCCACTGAGATACAAACTCCTGCTTAAGATCTGGACGTTTCAAATATTCTTGGAAATTTTCTCTGTAAATTATGGTAAAAATAATTTTGGTGTTAAATGACATACAGAATGCCATAGGAAAAATAAAATACACTAATATTAAGGTAATAAGATACTACTTCTACTCACCTAATATCTGCTATGTAATGAATCATCGCGTACTGTTCATCCCTTAGGCATCTAAGTACAGTTTTGATGGTATTTATATACACATTTTCTATCATTTCCCAGTAAGGTACTAAAAAATCAATTATCTCCTGTGAATTTTTTAAAAAACATCAACATTAAATGATATATTTCTTGGTAGTTCATTTATCTGTAGCATTAGTAAATACATGAAAAAATTATTTCATTAAATCATATTACTTTTTTTTTCACTATATATTTCTTTTGATTTACAACTGATCATAGACATTGTAACAGCATATAGTTTTATCCTGTGCATTTCTTTGAAAAAAGTGGCAGGTCTTAAAAGGAGTGGTAGGTTCCAGCAGAATACTCCAGTATCTATGGTTTTGGATATGCTCATAAACTAAGTGATGATACCGAGTGAATACTGAAGTATGAAAATTTGGTCATTTCTGTTTGAGCTTGTAAAGATCTAAGCTGACTGTCCAGTGTTACAAAAGTGATGTTTCACTGACTGACTGTCGTGAAATATAAATAAAGCCCATGGCCAGAGGAAACCAAGCACAAGCAATCATGAAGGAAAAACTGGTAAATATTAAGAAAGGAATTAGTAACAAAATTTCAAGTTTCATTGTCCACCCTTGAAATCTACATCTGAAAAACTGCATGCAGTCCCAGCTTCCCATCTCCAAAGACTTACAAGAGAACTAGAATAGATTATAACTGGACTGGAGAAGAAAAGCAACATTGAGCAAAATGAACATATAAGAGATGCCAGTGATACATCTTAAATACCTTCAGAGAGTGATTAAAGAATTATTATTAATTGTATCTCACAATTCATGAATTAGGGTCATCAAATTCAAGCAAAGAATTGTTTAGAACAAAGAGAGAGAAACTTTTTTTCCAAATTAACATAATTATACAGCCTATTGCATGGAGAACAAAAAGCAAATTGCTTCAAAAAAGCAACTATAGCAGCTAAAACACAGAATCATGAAAGAAAAGTTTATTGAGAGCCACTAAACATAAGATGTAGATACAAAGCAACTTCAGGAAAGCTCTAAACAGATCACTGGAATTTAGAAAGATGCCTTTGGAGAAAACAGGTAAGGAAAAAAGTATCCTAGGAGAAAGATTAGTGCACACACTTCCCATTCTTACTCTTTGCATGAGATCCACAGCTGCCCCTTGTCAAAGACAGAAAACTGATCTAGTGAGTCTGTATCAATATATCACAACAGTAAAATGGATTATTATTAAGAACACAGGCATCTGTGTTCTTAATAATAATTCTAAAGAACTTAGATAGAAAAATCAAAATTTTACAGTATGTTCCCTTATTTTATGTATTTTAGTAGGAATGATTGTATATTATTTATCACACAGTATTAGCATAAACTACATTGAAAAATATTGAAGAAAATAATATGCACTGATGTAAAAAGTTTAAGTAGACCATACATAGAATACTAAGAAAAATATGTACTTTGATATTTAAGACGTTTAATCCTGAATTAACATACCTGGGGAAGTGGTTCATCTACATAAATCCATTCATCTGATCCTGGTTCTGGTGGTGGTGGTGGTGTCTCAGGAGAGGGAGGAAGCAGATCATCTGTAACTGGCAAAGGCTTTTCTTCTGTAACTGGTAAAGGCTTTTCTTCTGTAACTGGTAAAGGCTTTTCTTCTGTATCTGGTAAAGGCTTTTCTTCTGTATCTGGTAAAGGCTTTACATCTGTATCTGGTAAAGGCTTTTCTTCTGTATCTGGTAAAGGTTTTTCTTCTGTATCTGGTAAAGGTTTTTCTTCTGTATCTGGTAAAGGTTTTTCTTCTGCTGGTGCTATTTCTTGAGTAGACCCTTGATATAAATGTACAATTAGTACCTTCAAACATATTTTAAGTATCAATAAACAGAATTAGACACCTTTGCTACTCTGACAAGTTCAAAATAATGGAACAGATTCATTATTTCATTACTTAGATGTTGTTAATCAGAAAATATACTCATGAAATCAGCAGTGCCCAAGGAGGACTGGGTCAGACAACAGCTAAAACAAACTTGACATCCACAAGTCCACAGGCCCTGGCAGAATGCTCCATGACTGCCGAGAGAGCTGGCATACATCATAGCCAGGCTGCTTATGATCATCTTTGAAAGGTCATGGAGATCAGGAGAGATGCCTGAGGACTGGGAGAAAGCAAATGTCACCTTGGTCTTCAAAAGGGGCAAGAAGGACACAGGGAACTACCAGTCAGTCAGCCTCACCTCAAACCCTGGAAAGGTGATGGAGCACCTCATCTGGAGGCCATTTCTACTCACATGGAGGACAAGAAGGTGATCAGGAGTAGTCAGCATGGAGTCACTAAAGGTAAATCATGTTCCACCAACCTGCTTATATGAACCTAATAGTGAAGGACAGCTTGGAAGCTATCAACATAATTATGAAATTAAACATTATTAATTGGCCACAGGGATTATTTTTCCATAGGGAATAAATAGTCCTTTACAGTACTTCTATACAATAGCTGGATTCTAACTAGAAAATCTCCACTCTGTTTGCATCAATAGGAATTTTGCCACCCACTCCAGCAGGGCTATTAATTATACCAAGCACGTAAAAAAACCCCAATTCCAACTAGGTAGCTTTTTGAAAACACTCCATCCAATTTTCTGTCAGCTGTGGTATTTCCAAGAATTTTTCATGAACTAGAGACCTTATGCATGAGTAGTGGGATAAAATTTTACTGTAAAGAGTACTTTTCCAGTTAATTATTTTTTTCTCCTTTTGGTGGTAGAAGACACATCAAGACTTTCTCATAATAGTTATGAAAAAAACCTCTGATTATTCACAGGTCTACTAATACTGGCCTACTTGATGTATTTGTTTCCCTGGATACTTCACCTTTTTTTCCTTTTTTTATTATTTTCTGCTTGATTAAGAAGAGAAACAGAATAAAGAGGTACCAAAATTCATATCAAAACCACTCCTAGTTATCCATGCTTTTATGCTGCTGCTGTTGCTAAATGAATAAATTTTGATAATGGCAAGTTAGACTTTCTTATACCATTATGCTATATACCATTTTTAATCCAGGAAAAAAGACTGAATTTAATGCTTTAATTTAAGTTTTATGTGAAATTGGTCCATATCCTCTGAAAAGGTAAAAACACAACAGAAAAGTTCAAGGTTCTGGTGCAGGTATCACTAACTCACACAACTCCAAAGTCTTCCAGGGGCAGCAAAAATGCAGGTTGCCATATAGTGTTATATAGTAATCATTAATTATAAAGAAGAAAGTCTTTTGTTACTGACTTCTAGAAAGTAAGAACATGAAAACTTACTTCTATTCTGGTTTTTCACAATTTCTTGTATTATAATTTCCTTCACTGTTTCACAGACATGACTTTCTTCTGTCTCTGCATTTACACTCACTAGAATATTTTGATGGACTGAAAACCATTTCTCCAATTTTGGCCATGTGTCTAGAAAGCCTGAAATTCTACAAAAATCATATTAATGTATGAAATTAAAATCTAAGTAGTGGAAAATCAAACATTTTCGAAAATTCAAAAAAGCAGACCATCTCAACACTAAAACAACTCCATCCACAACAAACTCTTCATTTTAAACACAGGAAAATTTTCAAAATCCTTCTGTTAGCTAGTCTTTCTTCCTCTTTCTTGTCACAAGCTAAACCTACTTTCCTATATCACAACTAAACCAATAATAACAAATAATAGTCCAAAGTAGTTAGTATTATCAAATATTTAGAAATAAGACTTGTTGTTCTTGATTTTGCTCTTTGTGTAAAGTTAATCATCTAGTGATTTAATTAAAACTGGAAAACTAAGTACTTTTTATAAATGTAGAAATGGAAAACAGCATTTTAGAAAACTCAAATGTGTTTCACCCAAATGCAGTTACATCATGTGTGTCATATAGATATATATAGATACAAATATGTATACATATAGTTTATGCAGTATATATCTGAAGACTAAATTCTACCTGGAAGAGTACCCTGGAAAATCAAAACACATGAATTCTAATTTTCTAGGATTATTTATATTGTGCAAACAAGGCAAATATCCTTTAGGCTCCACATTAGAGAAACACCTAAGTAAATTCTTTACATTAAGTATGTCAGTATTGTCACGGATCACATATGAGATTCAGATTAGTTACATGCCTAAACATCTATCTGGAGCAACTTTTTTGTACTTCATATAACTTACCTATGCAGGACCTGGTCCTTGTCCAAGTCAATCCTCTCTTCTAGGATTTCTGGATCTGAATTTTGATCACTGCTCTCCTGTTCAGTTTGAGATGACTTTGATTTATCTACTTTGTGGAAAAGAGCATATATGAGCTTATATCGAAAAAGGCAATCATTCAGTTATTTCTGCAAAGTAAGATAATTATTATAAGAAAATTTCAGTCTTCTTTGATCTTATACTTCTTCATTTAAAAATTGAGTATCGAACTTCCTAAAAGAAAGGAGAAGTCAGAGAACATCATAGAAATACAAAATCAAGCTGTAAAGGACTTGAAAACACTGTCTTGCCTCTTCCTTTTAAATGCATAGCCAATTATAGCACTAACATTTCCTAATGCATGCTTTGCAGTCACAGAAATCTCCAGTTGAAGAGATGGAGTATTCCTGTGGGCAGACTATTTCAGCCTTATCTACTCTACCAGTTAGAAGGTATTTTCCCTGTCTTATCTGAATCTTCCTTTAAGTACCTACTACTTTCCACAATGAGCAGATATTCCTGCATGAAACGACAAGGTATTGTTTCTCTCTGAGTCTTTTCTAATTTTAAGGAATCTTTAATTCATTAGAAATAAGCCAAATTTAAAAAATTCTGATATATTGTTCTTTTGACTCTATCACCATATTACATAACATGAAATAAATTCTGTTTGTATTTCTGAGATTACATCATGCATTGTCACGTGTTCCAATTGTTTTGGTAAAACAAGATCTTAAATTTATCAAGAATTTCAAGTGTATATACATTTATCTTCACTATGTTGTTAGCAAGAACTCTGAAAATTTTGTCTCATCCTCACTCCTACATCTACATAGAAGTTAAATGTAAATTGTGCTTTAAGTTTTATGTCATCTGTGTGCTGCAGTGAAAATGAAGAAGAATCTCCTATAATTTTGGATAATATGGGACATATTAATGAAAAAAACTTATGTTTTTACAAGGTGTGTAAGGGCAATTTAAAATGTGTAGTCCGAAAGTGAAACAACTCTCAAGAGGCCTTTGAGGCTTTTGTCTTGGTTGGCCTAAAATGACAATTTCTGATCATTCGCTGACTAACTGAAGACAAGACAAAGGCAGTAATCAAAAGGGAATTAATTTTGGCACTCTCAGAGGATGAATATTGGTACATCCCTCTGTTTATAATTTCCTTCATCCCTTTCCAAATGTGTCTCCTGAAGAAAAATACTATTTCTATACATTTATCTATATTGAGGGATATTTCTGCATCTGTTGTAATTTTTGTTTCTCCCAGTTGCTGTTTTATGTGATATCTAACACCAGCCACTGTACTATCTCAGCTCAGTACAAATGCAAAAAAGCATATACTCATCCACTTGCATACTTCTGATTCACCTTTGACTGAAACAAACAGAAGTATTTGAAATAATAATTCAAGCCACAATTAATGAAAGTGATACTGCGAGATGTAGAGAAATTATGCAGTAATGCTATTTTTCATTGGTAACTGCAGCTTACAGATATCTGCTTTTCATTTTACTTTGTTAATAGTAGCTGGAAACTTACACTTCATGTTAGCTGCACGTTTCAGTACCACAGTGTCTGAAATATCCAATAATACAGAAACATCAAATGCAGGTGAGGTAACAGGAGGCTCGTTAGGGGCTCTGGGATCAATAGCAAGTGAGAGCCTTCCAGGAATTGCATCTTTTTCCTCTGGATCATTCCCTGTATAGGCTTTGTCAAATAGCTTTGCCTGATTAATCGTCATTGGAAACCCTTCCACAATCCACCCCTTCTCTGGTGGTATTTGGCTAAAAGTAAATGAAGAACCAGAATTATACTGTGAATTGATAGCATAATAATAAAAACTAAAGAAGAGCTTGCTCAAGCAGTCTTTCATTATTAATTCAGTATATTAAATATACTGATGAATACAGAATATGACAGATATTATTAAACTGTAAATCAGAAAAAATAACTCTAAGTCTAATTAAAAGTGAAAAAAAATCAGAAATAAAACTATTTTTGCTGTCTTGATAAATAGAATTTTCAAAACCTGTATAGGAGCTCTTTTTAGAAGCATAATTTCACTGTTTGCTCACTAACTTTTGTACTGAGGTAACAAATAGTAAAATCTGTTCTGTAACTCTGAAGTATACTAATGGTGGTATAACTTAAATCATATTCATGCAGGAACTTCAGTGCTAAAGGCACATCAGGGTAATTGAGACAATTTTCTGTCAAACAAGAGTAGACAAAACCAAGTGTTTATATAATTTCATACTTAATGGCTTCCAACAAGAGGTCAATTAGTAGTTCATCGGGAATACTTTTTCCTTTCTTCAACCATTTCTGTGATGCGGCGCCAAGCTGGGCACGTACAGACAGCTGTGGAAGAGTGCACTGTATGCTCAATGTTCACAACAGTCATTGTCAAAAAGAGTATGATTTTACTTTTTGTATTACATACTATTTATTTTTTAATTTTTTAATTTATATTTAATAGGGTTTCTTTTTCTATTAAGGAGAATAGTTCTAACTGTAAAAAATGCATAGTTTAATCGAAATCTTCAACTGATTTCCATCACTGCATTGGCAACAACGCCAAAAGAAACATGGTTGAGAAACAAAGGATAGGAAGGCCAAAAAATGAAGTGTTCTGGTTCTAAGCTTACTTTGATTGATTTTCACCACCGCCAATCCATTGATGGTTTCCTATGGTAGCATATCAATTCATTAATTCTACAGAGATTCTTTTATATTTTAGCTTTTGAAGTATTTTTCAAAGAGCACTAAAGTCAAAGAAATTGCTGTAGAATTAAGCATTTTTTAACGTAAAGGAAAGAAACATTGTCATTGAATAAATTATCTGCTTGGCAGTCGCAAAATCAAGAATACAGTTTTGCTAACTCAGAAATGACACAGAAAATACCATATCTTCTGTGAATTTGAGATTTAACATGAAAATATAGAACTCTGACAATATGTATAACTCTCTAACCAACATACAGAGGAATAGATTTTCATATTTCATACATAAAATGCTTGCAGTGAGGTAAAAAATTTAGAATGATGAAAAGGTGTAACCTTTTAATTAATTTAACCATTTTAATTAATGCTGTTTCATAAAGTAGAAATTAAAATTGGTTTACAAACCTTGAATAGGCCCTCTTGACTGTTCTATTACAGAAAAAAACTAAACTGTCAATTCAAGCTGACTCTTGAAGTCTTACATGTCATAATGTAGAATTAAGTTTGAAATTGAGCAAAAATTGAAACATGCTTTCTTCCTTACATATTTCATTCTCATCTACCTGTTGGAGCCAAAATGAAAACTAAGAAAAATGCTTACCTTATTTTGTTCCCCAGAACTCTTTTCATGTGGAATCATATCATGTTCACTTTTCATTTCATTTTTAAGAAAAGACTCGATGGCCTCCCAAACCAGAGTATCGACAGATAGTACCTGAATATTGCAAACTAATACACAAAAAAATTAAATAACTTTGAAGTTTAAGTTGAGCCTACGCACAGAGAAACTACTACAGGCAGTTAAATTAATAGTATAATAAACGTTGTTTCCACTCTTTCTTCTCTCTACCCACTGCAGTCTGTATCTACCATCACTAGCCACGTTGCCAGTCTCCTCTAAAACAAATACCTCAAAGTTTACCAAAAGCATTTTCAAATTTGCAATGCAGAAGTAATACTATATTAATACTACTTTCAGGGTTGGGTGTTTCTAATCTTATTTTGGAAGATAATGAAGGAATGATATGCAACCAACCCACGTAAAATACAGATGTACCTGAGGTTCAAGAACTAGTAATTCAAGGATTTGCCCAAACAATTTTTATTGTAAGAGTGAGATTTTAATACAAATAAAATTGTTTCAAAGAATTTCAGGCAAAAAAAACCAAACAACCTCTACCTTTTTCAATAAACTTTGCACAGGTAGTTTTTCCACTAAAAATTTTTCCCAAAATACATCCCTTGACAGGAAATGAAGTAAGTACACGTGGCGAAGGTTTGGGTTGTGGAGGATAGAACAATTCCATCAGTCTACGAAGCACATGACCCAATATGTTATTATTAAGAGGAGGTTTGTTTTCACTGTTCTCTTCAGCTGGACTCCATTCCCCTGTCATATTCTGTATAAATGACAAATTAGCAAATCATATCTCAATATGCCTTGTCTTTCATTTTTCTAGATATATGTATTTATACACAAACACAATACATAAAAAACCCAAATTTGAATAGTATTAAATAATAAAATATCTTTTAGAACAGACCCTTGTTAAAAGGTATAATTATATCATAATCATTAAACATGTCTTGATATTCACTAATAACTAGTTAAGAGATAAGTACTCATACAAACACTTACATGGGTTCTGTGATGTTTTGCCTCTGGCTGGATGCCAGGTGCTCACCAAAGCCACTCTATCACTCCCCTCACCAACAGGACAGGGGAGAGAAAATATAACAAAAGGTGCATGCGTTGAGATAAGGACAGGGAGGGATCACTCACCAGCTACCATCAGGAGTAAAATGGACTCAGCTTGGTAAAATTAGTTGAATTTATTACATATCAGAATCAGAGCAGGATAGAGAGAGCTAAACTAAATCCTAAAAAACATTTTCCCCTCACCCCTCCTTCCTTCCTAGGCTTAGCTTTATTCCCAGTTCTCTACCTCCTCCTGCTCAGCACAGTGGGGGAACAGGGAATCACATGTTGCTTCTTCCTCCTGATGGAGAGGAGTTCTTCCCTTGCTCCAGAACAGAGTCCTTACCACATGAGCCAGTCCTCCCTGAACATCTCCAGCTCAAGTTCTTCTCACGGGCTACAGTTCATGAACTGCTCCGGTGTGGTCCCCTTCTGTGGAGTGCAGTTCTTCAGGAACAGGCTGCACCAGGACGAATTCCCCATGGGGTCACAAGTCCTGCCAGCAAACCTGCTCCAGTGTGGGTTCCTCACTCCACAGGCCACAGATCCTGCCAGGAGCCTGCTCCAGCACAGGCTTCTCATGAGGTCACAGCCTTCTTTTGGGCATCCACCTGCTCTAGTGTGGGGTCCTCCAGGGGCAGTAAGTGGATCTCAGCTCCAGCACCTGGAGCACCTCCTCCCTGTCATTCTCCACTGACCTTGGTGTCTGCAGAGCTATTGCTCTCACATATTCTCACCCCTCTCTTCTATGGCCTCAATTACTTCTCTGTGCAAAAACTTTTTTTTCTTAAATATGTTATCACAGAGCTGTCACCACCTCAGCTTTGGCCAGTGGTGGGTCCAACTTGGAGTCAACTGGCGTTGGCTCAGTCGGATATGGTGGAAGCTTCCAGCAGACTCTCAGAGAACCCACCTCTGTTGCTCCTCTGCTGCCAGGACTTTGCTGTGCAAACCCCAAAAAAGATTCCTATAATCACTTTTTTAATTCCATAAACATGAAAAATAATTTCACCAATACCATAGAATTAATCAGTAGCAGATTTTTGTAATAGAAATCCAATATTCTACCATTCTGCCTTCTAAAGTTGGGCAACATTACTGTCCAGTATCCCACATAAATCTTTGAAAATTTTATAGATAGATTTCAAATATATATTTGCCTAGAACACATTCAATAGAGAGAAAAAAAACCCAAACCCAACAACCCAAATCAGTTCAAACAATTTAAGGTAAGGAAATACTGAGCAGAAACTTCCAGTTCATGTACTCTGAGATCAATAGCAATTTATGATTTATCAGTGTACAGCTTAATGAGGTTTTGCTAGTAAAGATCCTCTTACTGAGAATCACATCAGAAGAAAGATAAGAATGGAAGGATGTAGACAAAAGAATGGAACACAGAATTACACTTTTGCCACTCATATATACTCTGCTAGTATTGTATCTTGTAGCACTAGCAAAGTTTACGTGCAGTTTATGCTGTAAGAAGTTAAAAGACAACATTTTAATATGCAGGATAATACTAGTCCTGTATTAAGATTTATTTGGTTGCAGCGTACTAAACACCTGTTTGGAAGATATGTTGACTAATAATATTTGCTATTAGATTCTAGCTTGTCACCTCATTTGGGGTGTCAATAAAGGGTTGACAGGCAAAGTCAAAAGTTTCATCAAGAGAAATGCCAAGTAGGAAAAAAAATGATAAAAAAAATTGTTCACAATGAGAGTGGTTAAACATTGGAACAGGTTGCACAGAGAGACTGTGGAATCTCTATTCTTGAAATACTTGGAAGTTGACCAGACAAGGTGTTGAGCAACCTTATCTGACTCAGATGTTGGCCCTGCTTTAAGGAAAGAGGCTGAACTAAATGACTTTCACATCTCTTTAAATGCAAACAACTGTGTAATTCTATAAAATTATATAATATATACAATAAATATATATGTCTATCTCATATATATATGTACACACATATATAAAATTAAATATTTAATCACCATCAACAAAAGTGAAGAGTTTTAAAATTCTACTGAAAGTTAATGTTTTGAATTCATATTCTGGATAGAATACGCAACCTTTTCCTGAATCTACTATCTGAATGGTGTATTGCCACACCATACATTCTACTAATAGAATTTGATCACTGTTTATTTTGAACATATGTGTATTAGATATAAAAACACATCGTTATCACGCTAAATTAAATTTAAAATAAAATTTCAAATTAATAAAACAAAAAAAATTCTTGAGTTGCACAATATCTCCTTTCCAAAATATCTCAGAAAACATACTTCTTCATATGTAATTGAAAAAACATCCTTAAAACCCCCAAATCTTTGTACTATCTGATGTACTATCTGAACCATTTTTATCTGAACCATTAACCATATAAGTAGAGATGGATCAGTTGTTTTAAATTTTATTAGACTTCTGAGAAAATTAATTCCAAATGGAATGGGTTCCCTCACCTTTCAGTTTTCTTGCCCTTTTAACCAGAAAATTGCTAGACTGTACCTGCCCTGAGGTAAAGTAGTTTACCTGTCAGAAACAAGTTTTCAGGCATCCAGGTGAGCATTATATAACTCCTGGTCAATATTTTCAAATGAAACTAGAAATTATTTGCTATTTTGAGTATTATCTAATGTTATGCTTGTTTTGGGTGATTTATTATGTGATTAGCCATGACTGATAATATGGTAGTTTCCAAACACTTTCATGCTAAATCTTATGTCTAATATGCAATGGACTGATAGCACTGCATTTTCTTGTATTTTATCAAATATACTTGATACTTTTAGTCAGTATGTAATGTAAACATAGTATTCTTGAGAGATGCCAAACTGCCTGCCTTGGGCTTTTTACAAAAGGTTTAGGAAAATGAGCATGAACATTGCCAGAATGCCCTGTTAATACAGTTTTACCTAGAAGCAATACTTTGAAGGCATTAGCTGTTCACTTAGGTTTTCAGAACACATAAGTATGAATTGATGCCAACAATTTTACATGTCATATTATACCAGCTTTTGATGAATAATGATTCAGAAAGGCATAAGACTAACAACATCTGTGAATAAATTAATTACGTGACTGTGCATTTGAAATAGCCTGGCAGAAAAAAGAGGCTTTAAATGTGTCAATAAATCTTTGTGACCTTCACTAATGTTACATCTAGAGAGGACTTTATAATATAAACAATATGACTAAAAACTTAAGTTTTCATTAGTGCTCCCCACTGTTTCCTGCCTTTCTATCCTGTGTGTCCTTCCTGTTTACTTTGGGTATGGGCCTTTTTTTCACCTAAAGAAAGTGATCGTGAAATTCATTACATGAGTTAGTATGTTGTGAATAAGAACCTAAAAAAGAGATACATCAGAAAAACTTTAAGACTGAAGCCACTGAAACTCATAACTTTTATACTCATTGGAGTATACATCAAAAGAAAACGTACCTCAGGAAGTGAATAAAAGCACACATATATTGTAGTTATAAATTCCCAACAAGATAAAGACAGGTTATTTGCCATGATTTTGCTACATTCTATTTATCAAGTTATTTGAGAAGTCTAAATATGTAGTGGGATTTTTCTTTTCTGAAGAAAAGCATCATTAATGTAACTTTGAAAAAACTGTACAATATATTTTAACAGGGAACTATTCATCCTTCATTTTCAAATTTTGAAATTACACTAATGTATTGTCAAGTTGAAGAAAAGTTTTAAGGTATCCTGAAAAATAGTTACTTCTATTCCAACAGAAGCTTAAGAAAAACATCAGCCATTTTTAATAATTTTCACAAACATTACTATCTTAAAATGAATGGATCACTCAAACCAATAAATCTTGTTAGACTGCTTTCACTCGAAATTGCTGAAATTAAGACTTCCAGTATTGTAACATATATAGTATTTAATTTTACTGCTTTTACTTGTTACTTTCTGTTGCATTTTCAAACCTGGTAATATAAACTACACCTCCAAATTCTAATTGGCTGAAAATGTAAGGTGTATTATCTTCCATTATGTATTATCAGTTTGGTGTACCTTGTATTCACCATAATCTTTTTCATCTAACAGACTCATTTTATTCATCTCTACAAGTTGTTCTGGGCCAGGTTCATTTGGCAAAGGTTGAATTGAGGCTTGTTCATATATTGGTTTTCCATTTAAAAAAAATTCCTTCCAATCCAGCATCATTTTTAATGGAACTCGGCTGCAGGAAAAAGAAAAACAAAACCAAACAGTTCAAAATCAAAAATTAAAGGGTTAGATGCTTGAAAATGGTAGACGCAAATTTAAAAGAATCTTAATCATGAAACAAGTACATGCTAAGCTAGTTAGAGCTTATAATGCTTTCTGTAATTACTACAGCTTTTTGTAAATGTTTGTTTACTTATAAGACAGCTGTAGGCACTTGTAGGCTTCAGTATTTTCACAAATGTGTTATCACACAACATTTGGCTGGCAGAGCTATGTAGTAACAGTTTTGCTATAGCTATTTTTGCCAGCCCTGAAACATTCTTAGCTTTGTGGGGTAAAGCCTCCTCTTGCCAAAAACCTATAGAACGTTGTTACTGTAAGTTAAAATTAATTTAGAATTGGATGAATAGTTAAACTCCTTTTTTTTTTCAATTAGTAATTTCACTAAATTATGTCTAGGCTGACTATTTTATTATGTAACTACCAAGCCTAAATTTATATAATTTCTATAAAATATATTTCATATGGTTAAATAGTATTATTTTAACATACAATTCCATTAAAAAGCAATTAAGATTTTGGTATACCTTCTAATACTGTCTTACCCCACAGTCAAATCACTGAATACTAATAAAAGAACTACAGCTACAAAGCCCCATTCTGCGTTTTTTTAAACACTTCTACAGCACAGGCACTTGGAGATTATTGCCCTTTTAGGGCCTTCTCAGAAACCCTGAGCAATTAGGGCACGTCAGAGGGAACCACAGCATGTAGGACTCAGTAGAATTTGGGCTCAGTTGCCACTCTTTGGACAGTCCAGGTAGGGTTACCTATCTTAGGAAATTCATTCAGTTTATATTACACTGAGGAAGTGTTCAGCCACTACATCAATCTAGAAACCATTCAGTTTTTAACTTTTAAATAAACAATTTGTTCACAAGAAAGGAAATCAGTAGTTTAACTGTGGCACTAGTGGATTTTGGTCTCCTAAGGATTCAAGTTAGTTGCATCTTCAAGAAATTATGCAGAGGCTGTAGCACTAGTTCACTCTGTATTACACACCAGTGAATTCTCACACAAAACTAATGTTATCATTTTCCCACACAAACTAATTAAAGCTGTCATGTAAAATGTCTGAGAAACTACATAATTGGTTACAGTGCTTACAGCAGTCCAAATAACACACCCTAACAGCTACCTTACAGCTGTTATTTTTGCCTGGCAGCTACCACACTCACTTCTTTGTCATGTGGCGATATTCTCCTACTTTTGTCGACATATCAACGATTTGGCCCATCACTTCCCAACACATAGAATAATGTTTTTTATAGCGGGCCTGAGCTCTTTCAGCAGCAATTTTCTCATGTTGTTCTCTCTCTTTCGTAATTTGTTCTTCATTATCAATGTTTTCTTGTTTTGCAAGAGCCTGGAATTTTTTTAAAGAGTAAATTTGAGACTGCAATGAAAATGAAAGTGCAGAGGTGCACAGTCCTGGAAATGAAAATTAACTTGTTCATTTAAGTCACAAAACAGAAACAGCTCATTTCTCACCAGAGCTGGAGAGCCAGCAAGCAGACTAATACAAAAACTAATCTAAAAACTTTTATTAATTCTATAAATTCCACTTGGTTTGCTTTCTAACTGCTAAAATACAATAAAGGAGAAATGCTTTACTTCTTTAATGACAAACAGATTAAGAACATATTGAGTGCTTGGGGCCAGTGAAATCACAGGTTTCAGTGCAATTACTCATTCAGAAAATGTGACAAATAATTTATCTTACTAGATTCTGATCTTCAAATAATTTTAAATTATTGATGTTGTTCAATCTTCAAAAAAGATTTCTGGTCATAGTAGAAAATTATTCCTGTGATGGTGTGCTGCTTTTGGTTGAAAGCATACTTAAAGAGATGTACTTAAAGAGATCAGATAGCTGCTGATTACACAGGACTCCAGCTGTGTTGGAGGATTTGGAGTTGCTAATTGTTTTTGACAGGATCACGTTATGCCCTACTATGAGCATTGCACTGGGCAGTTTTCCACAGAATTGTAAGTCCTTTTAATCAACTGAAAGCTTCAAGTTAGAAAGTAATTAGCACTCATGAGTGCAACCACTCCAGCATTTGTCAAAAATGGACATTAACATATTATATCTAAGTGAAATTAAAAACATGATTCTTGAAACAAGATCTTAGGCTATTGTCTTTTGTCCTGTTGCCTCTGCAAGACTGTGCCTTTTAAATTCAGGACACAGAGATGTTTCCCTACAAAGTTAAAATTAGTATAGAAAAAAAGATCAAAATTAGACTTCAAGTTGCTCAGCTTTGTCCCTTATTATCCCCCTGCCATGGGGGGCTGTTCTTCCTCCCTCCCTACATAATTCCCCTAAAGTTTTAACACACTGCAAAATGCTCTCAGTTCCACAATTACAGTTACATGCTTATTGCTTATCACCCACTAGCTGTACCTGTGAACTAAAAAATAAAAGAATATATTTATCATTAAATCATCCTGTCCTGAGAAAAGTCTTGAAGTTGACAATACAAATTCCATTTAATAACATTCTAATGTAGCAATTCAGAGAGCAAAACAATCTCTTACCGCTTCTCTGTCAAGAGCTTCCTGGAACTCTTTTTGCCGTCTTTCTTCATATTGTTTTTCCCTAAAAATTCTGTTTTGCCTTAACACCTCTTTTTCATGTCGAACATGCATGAGTTGAGCAGCAATCCTCCGCTCGTGCTGAGATTGTTTCATTAGTCTGTAAACAAGCTGCTCCTCCCGGTAAGCCTTCTAAAAAACAAAAAATAATGCTACTAAGCACAGTTTATAAACTATTTCCTAGACAACTCATCGCTGTCTCATATGAGAAATACCAGTGGAGTTTATATAACAGCATTCACCTGCTTATATGATACATAAATCCAGAACAACAAACATATCTATTTATTAGTACTATTTTCGTAAGAAGTGGTACTATTTATGTAAGGATTTACAGTAACAGTATTTATGTAAGAATTGTAGAACTATAGAAGAGAATTCTAACTATGTCTTAACTGAGATATTCAGTAAAAATACATTTGGTCAGATTAACTCAATTTTAACGTGGTTATTTCCCATGCACAAAGAAACTGCAGCACATTTGAAATAATGGCTTCTGTATCTAAAGATACACCCTTTCCTCAAATAATTAACTTATTTCTGCTATTCACCAGTTCCCATTCTCAGCCACATTCTACTGGATCCTTGATCACTCGCTTTTCTACAGGTTTGAAATTTTCCCTTCTTTCTGGGGATTTGGGTAATTATCTTCTCCATTCTCCTCTATTCGGGAGACTGGGAATAGGAGGAACCATTCCAGAACAGAGCAATATACAAGACTTCTGGGCAATAGTTCCAGTGTTCTCACTGGGACATGGATACAATACCCTAATTGATACTATGGGAAAATCATTCCGAACCGTTGCTTGAGGCATGGTCTGTGTACACAGATACTTTCAAGGCTATGGATTGTCATTTTTCTAAGTACTTTCATAACACAATAGTATCTTATCACTACTACACTTCTCTAGCCTGTCCCTGGTATGCAAACTAATGCTTAACCTAATCTAAAGTTTTGCTTCATTATCACTGTCTGGAACTCCTTCCGAGTCCTAAGCAAAAACATCAGCTTGCCAAATACCACTCCTACAGCAGAATCCTAGACGAAATATCTGATTTGCTGAATATTTGTTTCACATGCAGCAGAACTACTAGGAAATATATTCCAGTGTACGGACCTAAACTGGGAACTGATTTGAAGATTTCAAATTCATTTTCCTAAGAACAGAGGCACAGGTAAAGCCAGTTATTAGTACAAAAAACCCCAAACCAAAATAAAGTCACATCTATTTTCTTTTATCTCTGTCTGTGACAGAGAGGAAAAACACGTTACATACATACACCTATAACTGAACAATCCAATTTGATTACATATTATCATATTATTTATGAAAGAACTCTACAAAGAGTCTAGATCTGTGCTACACAATGCAAACTAGGACACCTGTAAAAAAATTTTTATGCAAAGCATGGTTATTTGAATTTCAATAATAAAACCAACAACTTTCTAAATAATTTATTTAATATTGATGTTGGGAAGAAGCCAATTTAAAAAAAAAAAACAACCTCTTTCCATATTTTTAAGTTCTTTTCCCTTCACAATTGCTGGGAATAAAGTACATTCCAATTAAATTCTGGTGACTTGAAAATACTAAACTGATATAAAAATATCTCAACATTTTTCTTATTTCAGCCAAAATGTGGGCTTTGCACTCCCCTTTCCTAGCACCAAATCTCATAACACTGCATGATAGTTCTAATGGCAGATGCAGTCATCTCAGGCTTCAATCTCAGAGTGGTTCACCTGCATGCTATGTTGTCTCTATACAAAACTTTTCTCAAAATGAGGGCCTAATTTTGAATGTGTTGTGTTTTGTAGCCTATTTGTAGCGTACTGTTGGTAAGCTATTTTTCTGTGGAGGGAATTATCATCATGCATGCAACTGAAGTGGAAAACAATGCAATCATAACAATTTTATATTCATTCTATGTGTCATTTGATATAGTTCAGGTGATAAATTTTTCCAATAGTACTGCCTACTGAAGAGTTAGTCCATTTTCTCTTACATTCCTATCTCAAGGCAATAAAAGGAGTAACAGCACCCTTTGCCATCTCAGTTCTATCCACTGCTTCTTTGGACTTAGTATTTCATTAAGGTTTCAAAGAAGAGTAGAAAATGCAAAATTTGCTTCGTATTGCAAGTAAATATCCTTCATTATTTTCTGTAGTTGCTACTGCTTACCTTCAGCTATGGATTATTAGAGCAGTAGGTACTTCACCAGAAGAAAATGGATTTTAAAACCCTAATTCACAGGGAATTGAAGGAGCCACCGTAACAGAGTGATCACTTCTCATACTCAAACCATCAACTTTATGGCGCAAAAAGTTGGTCCAGTGAGAAATTAAAGCACCTTATTTAGGTGAATGTGCTCTTCCTAAAGCAAAGACGCTCCTTTAGAACACTTTACAGCAGCTAAAAGAGACCTTGTCTTTGTTTACTGAAGTGTTGAGAACTGCAATATTCTAAGTGATCAAATATTTTGGCATGCTCAGTAGGCCTAAAAAAAGCTAGTAGGAAATTTCTGAGGAACAAGAATAAATGAAAAGGCAATTAACTCAAAGATAGACAACAGATAAGTAAGGATTCAGAACACCAAACTCAAAGTTTCAGAGAGGTTGCTTATTGGGTGGGGAATTGAAGCCCTGGTAGCTATCTTTCATACAAAAAGGAATGGACAAAGTACTCAAACCAAAGGTTAACAAGTTTTAAAACTTTTGAACATGGTAGGAGACAACATAAAAATTGTAGTACCATTTTTTGACCTAAAATTTTACATCATCATCTTCACAGAGGACTATGAAGTGCCTGAAGAAATCATAAATATCATAATTGGGACATCCACGTAATAATTTGAAAAACTACTATTAAAAGAGCAGAATACACGCTTTTTTTCCGGTTTACCTACTTGAGACAACAGTGGCATCCAGTGGCCAAACCATAACGTGTGTATGTTTCATGTTGTTCATACATAATTACTGTATCACGTTTCTATTTTTCTATTTCCTTGTTTGATTTACATACAAGTGAAACAGTTTTGTGCTGTTGTATGGTCATAAAATTTATGACCAAAACTTACAGTTCAGCATACATAAATCTATTTGGTTGACAAGTAATAATCTAGTAACAGTTCATTTCTCCTCCCATTTTCATGTTCTCAATTTATTGCTGAAAGTAACCTATTCCTGATAAATTTTTAATTCAGAGAGATAAAATCTGAACAGAGTACCTAAAAATAACAAGTAAAAAGCACAAATAATTTGTTGAAATGGTGGAGCTAAAGCTTCAATAGGAATGAAGCCGTATTACTGTCAAACACTTTCAACACCTCCCTATGAAAATCGGACTGGCATCACGCTGTGCTCTACAAAGAGTAGAGTATTTTCTCTCCCAGGCTTCAACCTGTGAAGTGCCAAAAATAAAAAATTTGAACAAAGTTCTTTTAGTAAGATTTATAAGCATAGATACAAAATAATCTACTGCATTCGGAAGGGATAAAATTCATTTGACTCTAAATGATCCCATGCCATGTTCAAGGTTTATGCTGTATAGGTAAAAATCTGATCCTAATATCTACAGGGCAGCTGCAGTTTCAGTGTGAAAATCCTTTACTGTTCAGTACATAACGGAGGGGAAAAGTAATTTTCAACTATTTTGTATATTCATTTATTTTTTAAAGAAAATATCTTAGTTTGCTTCCAAGTTCTCTTAAGTCAAGCAGCACCTAATTTCTGAAATCTCGAAGTTCCAACCAAACATCTCTTCCTCTGCTAATTTAGAACCAAATTACCACTAAACAGATTCTCTGATCTGGTCAAACTACTGTTCCAGTCAAATGCTCACTTGTCTTTCCTTCTAGTCCCTGCAGTCTGTGACTTCAGCTGTTCCTATATCAAAGCTTTTTTTTTTTTTCCTGGGAATTTAGGAACACTATTGATAGTTTTGCCTTGATTTGGAGCCTCCCTGGAGCCTGTGTGATTGGCAGCACATTGCTACAGTTCCTCCATCCCAAACTGATAAGGCTTGTCCTAAACCTCAGGTGGACCAGCTGTGTGACCTCCTCACAGCACTGGCTGGCTTTGCTGGCTTACAGCTGCTGTATCCACCAAGCAGCCCAGCGACTGACAGCCAGGACTTTTGGAACCCCTAGTCCAGGCTGCCAGGGCTGCAAGAGCTGAGAGCAATTAAAGAGCAAGTTTTGGGGCTCCAGTGATTTCAGGCAACTGGATTGCAAAACTTCTTCATGGTCTATGGATATCACCAAGAACATGATGTAAAATCTCTTTGAATGAAAACTCACAGATAGGACACATGGATAGACGCACTCTTGGTCTAAGCTACTACAGGTGTTTTTCAAGAATATAGATCAGAGATGGACATTGAGAAGCATCTAATTCCCAGATGACTACCTCAACAAATTAAATTTTTTCTTAACATTTCCAAATAGTCTCACAGAATCACAGAATATGCCGAGTTGAAAGGGACCCACAAGGATCATGGAGTCCAACTCCTGGCCCTGTACAGGACCATCCCCAAGTCTCACAACACATACCTGAGAGTATTATCCAAATGCTTCTTGAACTCTGTCAGGCTTGGTGCCATGACAACTTTCCTGGGGAGTCTGTTCTGGTACCCAACCATCCTCTGAGTGAAGAACCTGTTCCTAATATCCAACCTAAACCTCCCTTGACACAATTTCAGGCCATTCCCTTGGTTCCTCTCACTGGTCACCACAGAGAAGAGATCAGTGCCTGCCCCTTCTCTTCCCCTCATGAGGAAGTTGTAGACTGGGATAAGTCTCCTCTTCAATCTCCAGACATTACGTGCCAAGGCTTAAAAACATATACATATATATAAAATATATGCTACACATGTGGAATGCTATTATTATGCACCAGCAGTGGAGAAAGTCCCAGCTATAGTGGGTTCAACACACATGATCTAAGCTAAGGACTCACAGTGAAACACTAAAATAAATGATAACCAGAAATCACAGAAACCCAGCGAATTACAAGTTCTGTTTCTACACAATCACTATAAAAGAGAAGACACGTGAAATCAGTAATCTAAGAGCTGCTTTTTGAATAAGGAGTATCTGAAGAGAAATCTTAAAAGCCTTGTGCTTTACAGGATTCAAATGGAATAACCTGCAACATCCATTTTCAGACAAAACACAGACATTCTCCAGAGACATATCTTCTGTTCCACAACACATCAAAAATCAAAGCTCTGATCTGCAAACTGATTTTGGTTCTTCCCCCTGCGCAAGTTGGGGGGGGGGGGGGTGTGGCAGGGAATAGAAGGCAGATCTTCAACTGATTTTTATAATCTTTGCTCTGCTGCCTTCATTTAATCTTTATGTCATGGTGTATGACATAAAGGTTGTGAGAAATAACAGATAACCTTCCCTATTTCTCAAGGAAAGCCAATGGTTGGCATAAAAGTAGTGCATATATCTTCCTTTATCCTCTCCAAAAGTGTTCTGATTTTATATTTGTAAGCAAATTTTTAGATTGCTAACTGCACATGGACTCTATAGTTCAGCATACAATTTCTCACCTCTTCAGATTCATGTGCTAGTAACTGGTCCATTAGCATTTTTCGTCGTCTCTTTGCTCGTTGTTCTCTAGCAAATGTATCTTCCTCTAAACGTTTTTGAATTTTCCTTACATATTCACCATCTGAATAAACATTTAACAGCTCAGTTTTTGTCTGTGCTGTAGTTTCTTGAGTTGTTTCTTGCAATTTCTGTGTTTGCAATGATTCTTGCATATCACTGATTGAAAAGATTAAAAAGAGAAATATGACTTAATATGAATTACGGTTCTTAAAGGTGTTTATATACAGATCCCTGTATAGCTATATGCAAGTCTAACAAATGTACAACATCACTCTGAGGGTACTTCTTGGTGCCCTTGTTACTGGGTTACTCCTCAAGATATCACTCTGAGTACAGTTTTGCAGTTACAGGTTTACACACAGAAATATCTACAGCAGTATGGATGACTATCACATCTTGTCAGTAGGGTACACATATCAATAAAGATGACAGAATGACTATTACTTATAATTATTCACAAATAAATCAAAATACAGGCAAGTTTCAGGAAAAAAGTTACTTCTCTCTATTTCCTTTGGAATGTGTTACTGTGTATGCATATTCAGAGCCAGTCCCACCTCTCTGCAAGGCTAAATGACCTCAAAGACCCAGTGATTAAAATTAAGAGAAGAGATGCACTTTGATCCATTTCTTGCTGTATCTGTGACAAAAAGTAGTGAAGGAAGCTTGAGCCATCCCTACTACAACTAAAGGGAAGGTAAAGACACTGCAACCGTGTTGGAATTGAAATATGTGCAGTGCTAGTGTGACAATCACTCAAAGAACAATCACAGTTTAAACTGAGACATTACTTTTTCCTCAAGTAGCTGTCTACATAGATAGCAGACACCTGAGGTAGGATCCTGTCTATTCTTAGCAATCTAATATCCAAATATTACCTGTTGGTCACCTGGCTGGGTAATTCAAAGGTATTTCCTGTCATAGACTTCTCAAACTTGTCTATTTCCTTGTATACGTTCTGAAGAAGTAACACAAAATTTAATGTTTCCTTTCTCTTCACAAAATATCACAAAAAAGGTTCAACAGAACAAGTATGAGGGAATTACTTTTCTGTCATGCATATACAACAGAAAGGCTTACAGTGAAAATACTTTAAGCATCAGCTAGACCAAGAATAAAGGCAAGACTACTTCCTTCTTCTACGTTTTGCTTCTTCCCTTGTTCCCTGTCCCTTGCTACACCTATTTCCACCAGCCAGAATATCCTAAAAATTTGCAGCTATTCATTCTGCAGGATAATTCTGACTTTGCATAGGACTTCAGCAGTTTACATAACTCTCACCATTCAGGGATTTGAAAGGATATTCTGGGTTATCATCTGCTTTCGAATCAGTAGCTTGAATGTATCCTCAATAGTTACTCAAGCAACTATGTTGTATTAAACTCTACATTTAAATACATCTGTGACAGTTGCACAGTTGTAAAAACTGGTAATATTTACACTCCTGATGATAATACAATCCAAGAACTTGAATTACAACCCAAGTACTCTTCCGTACTAGATAATACAGATTTTTTTTTTTAATGGTGCATTGCTATCATCTCTTGATTTAAGACAATTGTCGATTCCAGCTATTAGTAACACTTTTAATAGAGCAGACAGCTTTATAGTGTGTTACAGAACAGTTCAAATATTATTGTGCAAAACTTCATCAGGCACAAATGAGAAAGGAATGCTAATGCTTTTATTTCACATATTCGACTCAATAGTCTAGAAGGTAAAATAGTTTTAGAAATCAAATTAGTACCTACCTATGGTATATATTCAATACAAATTTTCTCTTATGTCAAAACAGTTTTTATTAAGAAACAAACGCAGAATTATGATCATATAAGTATTCAGCCCATTTCACTGCCTGAGTCTACTATATTTTAACAGTTATATAGCAGCAGCTTTTGTATGATGTAAGTACAGTATTTGTAAGTGTAAATGTTCCCAAAAATCATGTTTTTTGAGTTAATATAATTAACATTAAAAGTGAATAGATGATAATTACCTCTGCTTCTCTTTTCTTTAACAATTTTTTAGTTTCAATAGCTTTTATGATGGGTCTTGGTGGAGGCTTTGGAACCTTTAAACCAGCTGTTTGAATCCTGTGTGCTACTTCACTTTTTCTCCTTCTTCCAATCTGATCCTGAATATTCAACATCTTGTGTTCAGATACATAGTTTGAAACAAAATACAACATATGGCCCTAATATACTACCTAAATATTTCTGAAGTAATATGGTACTTTATACATAAATATAGACATAGATAGATAGATAAATACATACATTTACTTAATATATTTATATGAAGTAAACATAATTAAACCAGAAAGAAAACAATGTTTCAGGAGCAAAGAAGAGCTTATCAGGCTTCAGACTTGAGCAAAGGATCAGTGCCTTATAGGCATTTAGGAGTTTTCATTGAATTCTAGTTCTAGTATGTTACCTGTTTCAGGTCTGAATACAGCACAGAAACTGAAAATACCAGTTTCCTAGTACAGAAAATGAGAATACCATTAGGTAATACTCCTGGCGAACAGTGAGTCTCAGATGACCAAGAAGTAACAAACATATAACTTACACTACAGACACCTGTGGGTAAAGGTTGATATAAGTAGAAAAAATACTTTTTTACACAAAAAGTCAAAGTCAGTCAAAAATATATAATATATCAAATAAGGTATTAATAAATTTTCTTTAAAACTTTTTCTGTTATATTTTGGATATTGTTTGTATTTTCTTTTCTAGATACATGAACTGAATTTTCCTTCTTGTTCATGTAGTGACAACAGAACAGCTAAATAATCACAGCAAGACTCTGTCCCTTAATTAGCCATATAAAACACATATCAAATTAGTCAACTACATCTTCTATGGGGTTCAATACCTCAGATAGCTTGCCACTTCCTCAATATAAACTGTAAGCTGTACTTTGGATGAGTGTTCCCATGTCTAAACAAATTCCTTCCTCTTTTTTTACTTTATCAAAATGGCTACATAGAAGTACAAAATGTTCTGAGGCCATACCCACTAGGCCCCCTTTCCCTGTCTTTTCCTGCTTTTGAACAATGCTTCTTTTCTTTACAAAAGAAGAATGTCACAAAGCTCTTTTACAAGGACATCTCAAACACATACAAGTTGTGAAATTTACAATTAGTCTTGAAGCCTATAGATATTTTCCACACATGACAAAACATAAGTACTCTCATTTTTAAACTGTGTGACTTTTAAATAGTAATGTTTTTAAAGTCTCATAAGAGTATATTGACTGTGTCCACATATTAAGGATTTCCACGCATAGTCTTTTCCTTCATTCTTGTATAAATATGACCGTGTAGCACAGAACTAAGAATCCTTCACATTGGCTTTAACTAATCCATTAAGCACATATCCTTAAGAAAATACATCTTCAGAAGTCTATAAAAAGTAAGCAGTCACCTTTTCAATGTCTTGAGCTCTTTGCTCTTCTTGGAGCTTCTGAGCTCTCTGCTGCTCTGCAAAATGTGTACGAGCTATTTTATCTGCTACTGCCTTGGATTTTGTTTCAAAACGCTCCGAAATCTGCTGTAGCTGCAAATCAGCCTGATGTGGCACTAAAGTTTTCAAACGCTAAAATTAAACATCAAGCAATGAAGAGTCAGAAACAGTAATAAACATAATTAAATACGACAATTATAAGATGTTTATTTCAAACTGTGTTTTCCTGTGTTAATGGGCACAGAATAAACATCTAAACATGTTTGAATAGAAACCCAGGACTAGCTCCATTGAAAAGAACAGAGATTTGAATTTGAATGATGCCAAACTTTCTTTAGTTTAGAGAAAAGGACAAATTGCTTTGTAGAGCTTCTTGAGGAGGGGAAGTGCAGAGGGAGGTGCTGTGCTCTTCCTGGTATCTAGTGAGAGGACATGTAGGAATAGAAGCATAGAATCATAGGATCACAGAACAGTTTGGATTGGAAAGAACCTTAAAGATCATCTAGTTCCAACCCTCCTGCCCTGGACAGAGACACCTTCCACTAGACCAGGTTGGTCAAAGTCCTATCCAGTCTGGCCTTGAACACTCCCACGGATGGGACATCCACAGCTTCTCTCTGCCAGTGCCTCACCACCCTCACAATAAAGAATTTTTTCTTAATATTTAATCTAAACCTACTCTCAGTTTGAAGCCATTCCTCCTTATTATATCACTACATGCTCTTCTAAAAAGTCTCTCTTCATCTTTCTTGCAGGTTCCCTTCAGGCACTCAAAGGCCACAATTAGGTCATTTTGAAGCCTTCCCTTCTCCAGGCTGAACAATCCCAGTTCTCTCAGCCTTGCCTGGTAGGAGATGCTCCATCCCTGCAATCAGCTTGGTGGCCTCCTCTGGACTTGCTCCAACAGGTCAACGTCCTGCCTCTGCTGAGGACCCCAGAGCTGGATGCAGTGCTCCAAGTGGGGTCTCACCAGAGAGGAGCTGAGGGGCAGAATCCCCTCCCTTGACCTTGACTGCTTTTGAGGCGGCCCAGGACATGTTTGGCTTTCTGGGCTCTAAATGCACACGGCCAGGTCATGTCCAGCCTTTCACCCACCAGCACCCCCAAATCCTTCTCAGCAGGGCTGCTCTTCATTTGCTCATCCCCCAGCAGGGATTGGTATCAGGGGTTGCCCTGACTCAGGTGCATCACCTTGTACTTGGTCTTGTTAAACTGCCTGAGATTCCCATGGACCCAGTGATCAAGCTTGTCCAGGTCCCTCTGGATGGCATCCTGTCCTTCAGGTGTGGCAACCACACCTCTCAGCTTGGTGTCATCTGCAAATTTGCTGAGGGGGCACTCAATGACTTTGTCATTGATGAAGATATTAAATAACACTAGTCCCAGTACGGACTCCTGAGGGGCACCATTTGTCACTGATGTCCATCGGAACTCTGAGCCACTGACTACCCCCCTCTGGTAGTGATCAGCAAGGCAGTTCCTTCCCACTGAACAGTCCACCCATCAAATCCATGCCTCTCCAATTTAGAGAGAAGGATGTTGTGGGGGACCATGTCAAAGGCCTTACAGAAGTCCACATAAATGACATCTGTAGTCCTTCTCTTGTCCACTATTGTAGTCACTCCATGACAGAAGGTCACTGTATTGGTCAGGCAGGACTTGCCCTTGGTGAAGCTGTGCTGGTTGCCTCAAAGCACCTCCCTATCCTCCAGGTGCCTTAGCAGAGCTTCTGGGAAGATCAGTTCCATGATCTTACCAAGTACAGAGACGAGGATGAAAGTCAGTAGTTCCCAGGGTCCTCCTTTTTAAAAGTAGGCACAATGTTTCCCTTTTTCCAGTCACCTGGGATTTCCCCTGATGACCATGAGTTTTCAAACATCATGGACAGTGGTTTGGGAACTACATCAGCCAATTCCCTCAAAATTCTGTGATGGATCTCATGGGGCCCCATAAACTTACATACATGATTGTACATTATGTTTATTATTTACTCAGGTGGTCATGGACCTTATCCCTTCTTACAGTGGGAGGGACTTTGCTCCCCCAGCCCCCATCCTGCTGTCCATTCACTGAAGAGGTGTGGGAAGAGAAGCTTCAGTTAAGACTGAGGCAAAAGAGTTGTTGAGTACTTCAGCCTTCTTCTCATCTGTTGTTACCAGTTTCCCAGTGCTGTTTATCAAAGGGGGTCTACTTTCTTTGACCTTCCTTTTCTGATTAACACACCTGTAGAAGCCCTTCCTGTTATTCTTTGTGCCCCTTGCCACAGTTTCAGCTTTAATATGGCCTTTCTCATCCCATCCCTACACAACCAAACTTCCCCTCCATACTCTTCCCAACTCACTTTTCCTAGCTTCAACTGCCTATGCATTTGCACAGCAGCCACGTCGATCTCTTGCCTTCCTTGCTTGACTTGCTCCTAGTGATTGCTAGCTCTTGCACTCCATGGAAGACACCCTTAAAGATCTTTCAGCTCTGTCTCTGTGGGCAGTCTGCCAGGGCATCCCCTTGACTATCTCCCTGAAGAGCTGAAAGTCTGCTCTCCTAAAGTTCAGGGACCTAACTTTACTCCTCGCCTGACCCACATCCCTCAGGACTGCAAACTCTACCAACGCATGATCACTCCAACCCAGGCTGCCTACAGTCTTGATGTCCCCAATTATCTTGTTTGCACTGGTGACCAGCGGATCAAGAAACACATCCCTCTGGGCTATTTCTTGGGTCAGGAAGTTATCTCTCATGCATTCCAGGAGTCCCTGTGCTACTTTCCCAGCAGATGTCAGGGTGGCTGAAGTCCCACAGCAGGACAAGAGCCTGCGAGCACAATGCTTCCTGTAGCTGGAGTAAGAAGGCTTTGTCAATAGGTTCCCTTGGTCAGGTGGACTGTAGTAGACACCAACTACAGGGTTCCCTTTTTTGTCTTGGTCTGTGATTCTTAGCCACAGGCTTTTCAACTGCTCATGTCTATGCCTTGGAGACAATTCTTCACAATCCATCTCTTTATGTAGAGGGCAACCTGTCTGCCTCTCCTTCCTCTTCAGTCTCTTCTAAAAAGCCTGTAGCCATTTATAGTCACACTCCAACCATGGGATTCATCCCATGCTGCAGCAGGGGAGGTTCAGACTCCATGTTAGGAAGCATTTCTTTACTGAGAGTGTAGTCAAACACCGAGACAGGCTTCCTAGAGAGGTGGTCAATGCCCTAAGTCTGTCACTGTTTCAGAGGCATTTGGACAATGACCTTAATAACAGGCTTTAACTTTTGGTCAGCCCTGAAGCGATCTGGCAGTTGAACTAGATGATCATTGTAGGTCCCTTCTAACTGACATATTCTATTCTATTTAAACTGAAACATAAAAAATTCAACTTAAACACAACAAAAAAATTACTGAAAGGGTGGTAAATAATTTAGACAAGCTGAGAAGTCTCCAGCTTTGAAGATACTCAAGACTGCACTGAACAAGGTCCTGAGCAACACGCTCTAGTTGGCTTTACCTGGAGCAGTGGGGATGGACTAAGTGATTTCCAGAGGCCCCTTCCAACCTCAACTATTCTATGATTCAAATGCCATTCTGAACCTGCCTAAAGACCAGATCTTCTCGCAGTTGCTTAACTTCTTTAAGCTATCCCTCTATAGCTGAAGGGATACTTCAACTCTCTGGTACTATCCTTGCATTTGTTCATAATCTTTCTGCCTGCAGACTATCTTTCAGGAAGTGTGCCAGAAAAAAATGTGAAATTTTACCCAGATGAATTTGATTCATGATATATAGCTTCTTAAAAACTGCCCATCCTGCTAATAAATAATGGTTTGTACATGCTGAATCTTACTGCTGAAAACAAGAAGAATGTCTTTAACAGAACCTACTACACCAATACTGACTTCCTCTTAGCTACTCTCTTTTCCTTTTGTTTTTTTCTCTTTGTATTACCCAGCACATGATTATTGCTGGCTGGAGTGTAGTATAAATATATGGAGAGACATGTAACAGAATGAACCAAATCACTGTGGCACAAAGCTCAACACAGTTATAAACAGGCTTCCTGGAGGGGTAATTAGTCTAAGTTGATACCTAGACCACAATGCAGTCTGCAATCTGCAGTAAAAATGCAGCTGCTGAATAACTACTAGGTTTTGTTGTTATAGTGTTTTAAGTCTGGAGACAGCTTGAAAATAGAGCAGGTAACACAGGATGAACCAAAACAAAGGAAAACAGAACACAGAAGATCAATAGCCTATTGAGTTACTGATAAGCTGTGTAATGCCACTGTATAAGACATTGCAAAGGACTGCTTCTTTTAAATGTAAGTGTTGGGTTTTGAACAGGAGATTTAAAAAGAGAGGAGGGGAAGCACGCAATACACTTGAAAAGTACATGTAAACACATGCTACCTTTTCTCTATTTATACAAAACAGGCATAGCTAGTTACCTCTGGATACAAAACACTCTCAATAGACTTAAGATTTGTAGTTGCGGCGGGTCTTATTGCTTCCATGACTACTCCAGGGTGCTTTGCTTTTCTCTTTTTTTCTAAAGCAATATACAATTCATATAAAAGCTTTGTTGCAGCCCCATGCTGTCCTGTCATGATGTCTTGGGCCACATTCTCATTAAACGGCACACCAAGGAGGTGAAGTGTAGGTTCCAGGCGAGAAAAATTGTTAACTTTTGCATCTGCAACCCTATATGATTAAAAACAACAACAAAAACCAGAAAATAAACTTATTTTCAGTTCCAACTTGCTGCATTAAGCATGGTCATGATACCTACCTAATACCAAGACAGGAGGAGGAAAAAAATAAAACCCACAGAGGACTTTCTTAAATAATGGGTTACACAGTTTGGCTTAGGTTTTATACTGCATTGTATACACACACTGATTACTAAGTATAACTTCTGGGAAAAACAAAGATCACATTGGATTATATAAATCCTGATACCTAAATACACAAAGTGCATCTGACAGCAAAAGCTAACCCCAATTGCAGCTAATGGTATCCCATCCACAAAACACACAAAGAGTTTGAATTAAGTTTCTATATTAGTTGTATCATCACTTGAGCTCTTGCCAATCAAAACATACGTAATGATAAAAAAAGCCTATATTATCCATTAAACCTCACAACACTTTGACATATTTCTTCTCCAATAAAAAGAAATGGACACACAGGTTAGAATTAGCAATTTACATTCAAAGCTAAAACAGTGGCTTGCAGATTACTGTTTTTCTTGATATGTAGATTCTCCTGTGGAAGCAGTCAATATCAGTAGATATACAGAGCAAAATCAAATAATAATAAATTATCAGTTTATCACAAGTAACACATCAAATTTCATCCAACAAATCCATAACTTCAGTCTGAGTCAGAACATCATGCTTTCTATACTGCTCTATCTCTTGAGTTCACAATAGTTCCTTTGTATCTACCAACCAGCTTTTGAGGTCAGCTGAGCTCCAGCACAATTCTACAAAAATGCCCAATTTTACCTGAAGACCTTCTGGTAACAGAGTACTCATCTTATTTTGCGATGAAACTGTCCAGGGGCTCATTATTCTCTCTATAATAGTCCATGCCTTATTTCTTACCCAATTATATATAACTGCAGCTTCCAACTACTGAACATTTTTCTGCCATTGATTCAAGGTTAAGATGAGCCCTATTGTCACAAATCATCTCACATGCACTGAGAGGTTGTAGTGACACCACCTCTTAAATTTTTATTCTGCAAGGTGCGGCAGACTGGTTTGTACATCCCATATTCCCCTTTCTTGCATTCCTTGAAGAGAGGAGTGGCAGTTGCAGTCTTCTAGTCCCGAGTCATCAGGACCTTTCAAAGATTATTGAGTGGTCTAGCAGTGATATCAGCCAGGTCCCTCAGCTCGGGTGGGTATATGCCATCAGGACTTGCATATTTCAAATTTATTTAAACATTCCTTTCTTGCTACAGACTTTCCTATAAGTCTCAGAGGCTTGGGATATCACAGTCTTATGGATGTCTCAATAGGTCCACATTTTCCCTAGCCTTCCTTTTGCTGTGGAGATATCTGTAAAAGCCCTTCTCATTGCCCTTCTGCCTAGGCATAAGACAAGGTCTTTTCCCCATGAGGACAGTCAAGAAAATTGAAATAAATTGCCTGGAGAGTTAGTGTAGTCTTCATCCTTGGCGGTTTTCAAGATGACACTGCGTAAACAACTGCTGCAGACTTTCCTGTCAGTCTCAGGGGCTTGGGATTTCAGAGTGCGAGTTTTACCAGAGAAGCCATTAGGTATCTCAGCCTCAGCGTGGCAGTCTGAGAAATACTCAAGGACCTGAGAGGAAGGCTGATCAATGGAGCCATACTCTGCCACCTTTGATGCAGGAAGACAACTCAGCATGGCTGCTACAGAGGCAGGTCTTGGATCTTACCTGCTGTCTCACACATGGGGTAGCTCTTCTTCTTCCTCACCTTCCCAGCCTGTCCATCCTAAAGAGCCTATATCCAGCCATGGCAGCACACCAGTTGTGTGAGCTAATCCACTGCCTCTCTGTGATTCCAATGATAGTCCAGCAACAGTTCACAGGCTGCTAATTTCTTCTGTTTGATCCCCATGCTGCATGCTTTAGTATACAGGCACTTCAGAGAGGCAGCCAGTTGTGTTGATTTTAAAAAAACATAGAAAAATTTAGAAAAGGTGTGAATGTTTATCCCATAACCTTATCTTCTCAGCACTTCCTTAATTGTGTGCATACATTTGGGGTGGAAGGCCTTCTGCACTGTTTCGCTGCTCTTATTCGCATCACCCTCTTCTTGCTTGCCAGTCCAGGCCATCACTTCCTCACTTGCTTTAGAGTAATCCTCTCCTTCTCCCCTCATTCCTAGTTTACATCTATCCTCACCAGGTTTGTCAGGCTGTTTCAAAGATGCTTTTGTCCATCTTGGCCAGGTGGATCCTATATCTTCCTAGCAGTCTTCCCTCTCAAAAGAGGATCTCACGGCTGTGAAAAACAAATCCCCGCTGTTAACAGCAGCTGCACAACCACTTGTTGACCTGTGGAATCTATCTACTCCTCATCAAGCCCATCCACCTCACCAGCAGAAATAAGAAAAAAAAAATATTTGGGCCCCGTGCTTGTGGCTCCAGGTCTCTCTGGCAATATCCTTGGTACCCACAGAAAAGAGCAGCAGGGATAACAGTGCAAGGGCTCTGGACAAATCTCTGCAGCTCTGGACTGAAGCCCCAGCATGCAGTAAACCCCTCTGGCTAGCATGTCAGGTCAGCAGATGGCACCCCCATTTTCTAGTGCTATCATTTACCTTTTCCCTCTGTGCTCTGACGTAGTTTAGACTTCAACAGCTCAGATGTTTTGTTGCACAGTGCCACCAGCCTCTCATCTGCTACCACAGCCATCAACCTGTTCTGCAGCTTCACATCAGCAGGTGGAGCAGACACCTTCCTTTTCTTCCCAGAAGTCACCTCCTTGCCAGTCATCTCCTTTTCCCAACCCAACCAGATTCTGCCTGCCTCTCTCTCAGCACAGCTGCGGGTCCAGGTTCCTGTATCTGCAGTGTCTCAGAGAAGATCCAATCCACTGATTTCATTCTGCAGCAGCTTGACTTGGTAACACAGCTCCTCCATGAGTATATACCTCTGCAGGCAAAGCCATCACCTCCCACTCATGAAGATGTAAAGACTCTGGGCATTCCCTTCAGTCTGACACAGGGAGACTTGACTCCTTTCTCTGGAGAGAAATCTGATTTGAGGCCTCTGACATTCCGAGTAGTTGCTCCAGTGGGTACTGGGTATCACGCCCTGTCACGCATCCCCATGCTTGCTGAGCACACATACACTGTCTCAGCAGAGTTTCTAACCACTTCTTGCACGTACTGAAGTGCATCTTCACTAACTGCACCTCAAAGGACACTTTTATTGAGAAGAATCAAGAGAACTTGTTAGAAGCTGCTAGAGCCTGCTAGAAGTAAAAGCCTGTTATTTTTCCCAGCAACAGCAGGTACTCTAAAGTTCCTCAAAGAGTTACCAGGGGTCTTCCAATGATCCCAGAAATTCCTGGGAGATCTAGAAGTCCTAGAAGCAGAGCGCAAAAACTGCTGTGCAAAACTGATTTTTGTTGGCTGCCTTTGTTAGCTGTGCTCAAGTTGCTCTCTTGAAAATTGGTGGGACTTGCAGAGGAAAGGGTGTGAATACACGGGAAGTTCAAAGAACATAAAAACAGAGGTTCAGAAGAAAAAGGAAGATTTTATGCAGCCTGGTACTTTTGATGCATAAGCCAAGGAACTCCATGAACTGCATCATCAATGTACCAAAGCTCACAGATCTGCACAACACTTTTCAAGTTCACATTTTTCAGTTCTTCTTCATGACAGATACTAAACCAGATTACTTGTAAACTTATACATTCTTGTATGATTTTCTACCAGGGCTTCACTCAGACCCTCACAATGTATCTCCACCATTTTCATTTTAGTGAAGATGTAATGGTCACCACCACAACACAACTCTGTATTCCTGGCTCTACGCAGCTCACAGGGACAGTGACAGTATTTCCATCCCTAGAGACATCCTTGAAAAGCTTTTTGCATTTTTGGTCTAACCTGTTACTATTGTAGTTGCAATCAAAATGCATAATTTTCTTGAAGAAGTATGATCAATCTCTCTAGATATATGACACTCATTAAGGCATCACACACAAGCAGCTTTTGAATCTCTGAAAAATGTTTCAAATCTCACTAAGTTCTACATGTTTTTCCACTCTGCATTAACAAATTCTGAGAAAATATGTATACTATATTAAAATATATCTACTTTATGTAAGAGACATGTTATCCATAAGTACTAACCTGCTCTGTGAAAATTGTTTAAAGTCATCCTGAAGACCATATTTGTGTAAAAGTTCTCCTAGGAGGTATCCGTTAGAAAATTCTTCTGGAAATGATCCTGGAACTAAGTTTTGGGGTTTGTTGTTTGAGTTTTTTCCAAAAAATAAGAAAATTAAAAGAATTCATACATTAATCTTAATACAGCTTGTTATTATAATAAAACTAAGACCAAATGTCATTAAATAATTCAGAGGAATTTTAGAAGATTGACCTAGCAGTAACAGTTTTCAACTCACAAATAAATAAACTTTCTGTGTAGTTATTTTGCAACATCAGCTTCAGGTAGTAATTTCTCATTTTCATTGTAAAAATATAAACATTGCCATTGAGATTGTGGCAATATCAATAAACTATGATTACTACATTTTCCATACAAAATGTAAATGAAAACAAAGCCAGATCTAATGAGCTTCTCTTCAAGAATCATAGCATATGGTGAGTTGGAAGAGACCCACAGGGATTATCAAGTTCAGCCCTGTGTAGGACACACCAAGAGTCACACCATGTGCCTGAGAGTGTTGTCCAAACACTTCTTGAAGTCTGTCAGGCTTGGTGCTGTGAACACTGCCCTGGGGAGCTTGTTCTAGTGCCCAACCACCCTCTGGGTGAAAAACCTTTTCCTGATATTTAGCCTAAACCTCCCCTGACTCAGCTTCATGCTGTTTCCTTGGGCTCTGTCACTGGTCACCACAAAGAAGAGATCAGTGCCTGCTCCTCTGCTTCCCCAACATGAGGAAGTTGAAGACTATGATGTGGCCTCCCCTCAGTCTCCTCTTCTCCAGGCTGAACAGACCAAGTGACCTCAGCCACTCCTCATATGGCTTCTCCTCAGGGCCCTTCACCATCCCCATTGCCCTCCTTTGAGGGCATTAAGCTCCTAAGAGCTTAACGTCTTTCTTATATTGTGGTGCCCAAACTGCACACAGGACTCAAGGTGAGGCTGCCCCAGTGCAGAGCAGAGCGGGACAATCCCCTCCCTCACCTGGCTGGTGATGCTCTGCCTGATGCTCCCCAGGATATGGCTGGCCCTTCTGGCTGCCAGGGTACTGCTGACTCATATTCAATTTGCCATCAACCAGGATCCCCAGGTCCCTTTCAATGGCACTGTTCTCCAGCCTCTCATTTCCCAGTCTATACACACAACCAGGGTTGCTCCATTCCAGGTGCAGAATCTGGCACTTGCCCTTGTTAAACTTCATACAGTTGGGGATTATCCATTGCTATAATTATCAATAGGAAGTTGCTCCCTCTTCCTTACAGAATAGATGTTTTTGCAATGCCAGCACAATACCTGCCATACAAAACAAAGCACTACTTTCCAAACACATTAAAATATATTTTTTATCCTCTGGAGTCCTTATTAGCAGGTGAAGCTCCAGCACCTCCTGTCTCCCCAGAGAACTTGCCCCATGAGGAGAATTTACTTCAGCTTGAAAACTTCAGGCATTGGAACAGGTTGTCCAGGAAGGTGGTGGAGTCACCATTCCTGGAGGTGTTTAAGAGGCATCTGGGTCTGGCACTGGGCGATGTGGTTTAGGGGTCACAGTGGCAGTGTGGGCCGGACAGTTGGACTGAGTGATCCTGAAGGCTTCTTCCACCCCCGATGATTATATGATTCTATGACTAAACATGTACCTGCGGCGGTACCTGGGAGCGGACCAGCGGGCGGGTCCGCCGGGGGAGCGGCCGGGGGGGGGGGGGAAATCCCCTGGCCCGACCCTGAGGCAGCGCCCTCGGTCCTCCCCGCGCAGCAGGGCCCCACTCACCGACGCGCTGGGAGAGCTTCACCTCCTCGTTCAGCCATTCGCAGAGGATTCGCGACATGGCCGGGCCGGACCCACCGCCGCTTCCTCCACACTCCGCGTCCCGTTGCCGCGGCGACCGCGCGGGGCGCCTGCGCGGTTGGGTCAGGGCGGGCGGCGGCCGTGCCGCGCAGGCGCCACGGGCGGGCGGGTCCGCGGGTGTGCCCGGGCGCGCGGAGGAAGGTGAGCGCGCGGCGGGGCGGGGCGCGCGCCCGCCGCCCCCTCAGCGGGGCCAGGGGGAGGCGCTGGGCGGGCGGGGGCCGAGCGCGGCTCCGCCGAGCTGAGCCCCGGAGGGGTCGTGCCCGGGGGCAGGTGGTCGGTCCCCGCCCCGCCCTGTGCCCCTGCGCCGTGCCGGGCTGGCGGCACACGGGGCTGCCACACCTCTCTGCTCCGGCCGCGTGCTCCATTTGTGTTCCAGCCCGCAATTCCCCGTTCCGCCCCGACCTCGGCGGCGCCGTGCCTTGTTTGCTCCTGAGCTGGTGCGGGTGATAACGGGGCAAAGGGCTGACAGGTTTAGGGTGGACATTAGGGAGGCTGAAGGGTGGACATTAGGTGGAACTTTTTCACAGAAGGGGTGTTTAAACATTGGAATGGACTGCCCAGGGAGATGGTGGAGTCACCGTCCCTGGAGGTGTGTAAGGAAAGCCTGGACGTGGCACTCAGTACCGTGGTCTGGTTGACGGGGTAGTGTCCGATCATGGGTTGGACTCGGTGATCTCGGAGGCCTTTTCCCGCCCAGTCGATTCTGTGATTCTGTGAAACGCAGCCTAGCAGGAGAAAGAAATTAACCCAGGGTGATTTTCCGAAATCCGTTCATACAACGGCACAAATTACTGTGTTGGCGCAGTGTGAAAAGGGGGAGGGAGAGCCAGAAGTGCTGAGAAGGGCTCTGGCGGTGCCAATGTGCGCTACACATCGAGGAGGGTTTTTTCCAGCAGCGCTGTCGGTGTGAGGCTGGGGCGCATCCCTGTGCCAGAACAGCTGCTCCTGTGCGAGCCAAGCCGGGCTTATAACGAGCCTCGCCGATACGGCTCTTTGCTCAGCTTTTGTTTGTATTAAGTCATCTTTGTTTTAGAATCTGAAACAGTCATGGGTGGTTCCAGTGCTCCTATCTGAAGCGTGTGTGACAAAACTGTGGAGCATAGTGCTACATCTGGAAAATGCACTACACACCATGGGGATTTCAGTTGGCCGATTTCTTCTGGAAAAGATTTATTAAAGTTTTACTTAGTTTTTGGGTACCTTTCAGTACAATACAGAATCCTAAAGGATTATTTATCCTGCAGAAGGCCGGAACAAGAGGATCTAGTGGCTAATGATAGGCTGACAGCAAACTAACTGTAATTTTCTAAAGTGACAGTAATCAACAGTTGACATAACTTGGAATGTTACAAATTCTGTTTCTCTACGAGGACCAGAATTCCTCAGATTAAATCTCTGTGCTTTTATGGAGGGTATGCTTCAGATCAAGTTAAATCCTTGAGAATAAATAAAAATAGATGTATAATTGACCAGGCAGGTATTTATATATCTCGAAAAGGTCAGTATAGAATTAGTGATACGTGAATGAATGAAGTAACAGGAAACTTCAGGAGGGGAAGTACTTTCAAGGCAGATGTTTAAATTAATATTTATATTCTTCTAAAGATTCAAAGTTTTGTGTATATCTGAAGGTATAAAAATACCCACACTTTAGAGGGAGAAAAAAAACCTTGAATTTTTAATATTTTCATGACTCTATTTCATAGTAGCATGAAAGTGGTAGCAGTAGTATGAAAATAATAATACTACCCACTAGTAGTGGGTATATCTACTATCACAAGGGTGTTTTTCTGATATGTCAGCGTGTGAAGAACAAATGTATTTTAGCTTTCTCATGGAATTTTTTCCTTAGCTCTAGAAATCAATGTATATTTATTTATGTTTATATATAGTTATATGTTGCTGCACATAGTCATTAACTGTTTAAGAAGTTTATGTTGATTTAAAACATGCAAACCAGAACTGATTTATATTAAGTATAGAACTTCTTTCCATATCACCTCTGACTTTAAAAAGCTGGTACTTCCTGTGTCTCTAGGTTTTTTCCTTATGGAATGTATTCTTTCAACTTTATTATCATATTCAGTGATTTTCTAAACACTTGATTTAGTTTAAAATAACATGGGTTGTTCCATCTGCTGAGATGACATAGTAAAATCTTATTCAGATAAGCTAGAATTATGAGAAACATGGAATTTCATATTTAAATTCAGTAGTGGCTTGTTGTTTCATTTAAATCTGTCTTAGCTCTTAACAAATTAATGTAGCTTTCTTTTAGAATTCTGGGTAGTGATAGGATAATGTATTAATCAAATTTTACTTTATTCTTTCCCTGAATTTAAGACTTCAGAAGATGTCTTTGTTCTGCACTGTGAAAGCTGAGTCCAGACAGCTTTTAAAGGAAAATTCTAGCAGACAACAAATAAGGTAAGTGTTTCCCTAATTCTACCATTGCTGAAAACACCAGTATTTTTAAATGGATGTTTTCTGTGTTCTCTTAGTTTTTAAATTTATTTTACTTATACTTTAATTTTGGTAGGAATGCCAGTTGGAATATCCTGAGCATTCCAAACTGATTTTTCAGAGGACTCTGTACTTTGAATGGTGTAGATTTTAGACAGCAATACTAGATTGTGGCATGCATATGGATTTTTCACAGAAAACTTTGTCTTTATTTTAAACTTAGTACATCTTCTCATGGACTTGCTTAGAAAGAGGAGAGGATTGTCCATAGGCTGAATTTATAATAGTCAAAGGAATAGAAGACATCAGACAGCAATCTCTTGAGCACAGAAATTGAGGTGTTGGGGATCATCTGCATATATGAAGAACAGAAAAAGGATCTTAAAATATAATCAAGCCTACAGCTTTTTTGTACTTTAGTTTTGAATAACATGGACATATAGTGGTATGCATGAAGAACAAGAGGGCAAAATTCAGTTTTAAAAGTGATTATCCATAAACTTCAGTGTTATCACAAAAGGACGATCAAAATTCTTCAGCATGTTCAAGATAATAAACTGAAGGGGGAGTTAATTAGGAGGAATTATTTACAATTTAATACAACGAAGATTAAGAAAAGTCAAATGGAACAGTACCTGAATTCTCAAATCAAATTCCATTTAGATTGAATCTGTACAAACAGTAATAGCACTAAACTGATACAGAGTAATTAAAGCATGTGTGGGTTCAGGAGCTTCCTTTTTGTGCACTAGAATTTGTTGCTGCGTCAACAAGATTCTTTATAAATATACTTAAGTATAATTATTGCAGTGTTATGGTTCATGTTGTTTGCTTGTCTCTTCTCTCTCCTGGGAACTTACAACAGGGCTAAATAGCCTCCTCTCCTCCTAGGGCTTCTTTTCACTTTTCCCTCTCTGGTTTGATTATTCGTTTTGCTTAATGTTATTTACCCACTCTGACATGATCAAATGATCATGTTCTCTTTGAAACTTAATTTTAACTATATTCATCCCTCACAGACTCTCCTCTGGTCACCTCTGGGTCCTCATACCTGAGGACAAAAAAGGATCAAACTCTAAAGAAGTCATGACCTTGAGGATTGTGCTTACCCCACATTTCCACAGCTTCTTGCTTCATGCACCTCTCAGCTCTGTTGCCCATACTGGCTCTTAGAACAGCACCACTCTGGAAGCCTGTTCTGATTTCTGCCTTGAGTTGTTCCAAGGCAGAACAACTGTTGCCACAAGAAAACAGCTATATTGATTCAGAGCTCATGTTTGTCTAGTTCAGTCTCCTGTCTCTGACAATGATCAATAACAAATTCCAGGGAAGAAATGAAGGGAAATCTTATGCTAGTACTATATACTTGTTAGCATATACCATGTTGCCATACAGAACGTTGTCTCTACCATCACTTTTTGTGGTAAAGGACTTTATACATCTACATAAGGTAGTACAATTAATTTTTCCTTCCATTAGCACATGCAGACAGTTCTAAACCTCTGTAAATGTTTAGTATTGACAGTGGACTGTGGTGAGGAATTCCGTAACTTAACCTGGACTTATATGAACAAATTAGGTTACCCTTCATTATGTGAAGAAGTACATTGTTATTTTGAACCTGCATCCTCTGCAGTGCTCTAGCTGTTCTGCTATTTTTAAACAAGAGTATGAGGCATCTGACTTGCAGGTTGAACTGATGCTTTAAGTGCTATCTTGCTTCCAAGAGCTATATAATAGATATATTTTATATTCACATTTACTGCCTATCTTTGTTTTCTCTCTACCCCAGTTGTGAGGTTGTGTCTCTGGACACAAATGTGTCTCATATTAACTGTGGTTAATATGGCTTATTCTGCTCTTTTTATTATCTGCACAAGGAATGCTGGGGTGTGAATCTGCTGTAGCAGTCCTGTAAAAAAAAGTCCCCCACTTGGCAATGCTGATGTGACTACATGCAGTATATGTGCAAGATCCGCAGTTACTGCCTAAATAATCTCTCTATATTGTAAGCAAGTGTGTCATCTGTGTTCAAATATTGATGAGAATGTATGAGGCAGCCTGGCAAATTACAGGTATGCAGGAAAATACTGTAATGGATGCATTGTTTTCTGTACTGCGAAGTGGATTATTAGTATGTAGGTTCAGTTTTAGTAAATCTCAGTAAATTACTGGGCACGATTAAAGCAAAAGAATTGCAGAGAAGGTCTGCACTACGAAGAGACAGGGCAAAATGTTTCCAGTGTGAGGAACAGCTGTAGTGTTGTGGCTGGCTGATGTTTTGATTATTTTCCACATTGGTAACCAAGTAAGGAAGAAGATAATTTAATCTTCTTAAGTGAGATCCATAACTCGCTTGTTGTATCTGAGACAATATGGTTCCACTTAGTTCAGTTATAGCAACTGCACATTTAAACCAGGGACTGAAGGATTTTTCAGCTTCAAGTAAGAGTTCAGTGTCTCCAGTGTGATGTATTTGTCAGGAATTACAATCCACTATGGTGGATAGTGGCATATGATATTGAATAATATTTGAATATTGATTGATGCTTTAAGACAAACTAAGTAAAACAG